AAGAGACAGAAAAGGTGATATATACAGTTATATAAACAAGTACATAGTTTTAAAAAATAAAGTCTTTAAAGAGACAGTAAAATTAATATAAAAAATAAACCACGTAAAGATGAATATTGCACAGAGAATCTGGATTGTGTTGTCTTTGGGATTTTTAACTGCAGAAAAACATTTGATTGTAAAAGCTGTTGAGTTATGCCAAAATGTATATTTTAAAGGTACCTTGACTTCAAAATTTGGATATAAGGATATGTTCCTTTGGAAAAGAGTCTCTGCTTTTGTTTCCACAGAAAGGCAAAGGCTATGGATTTGTTCCAGATTAAGATACATCAGGTTTGACTAGCCAAGACCCCCTGAAAGGTTTCCAGTGACACCATGGCCCAGATGATCCAACATCCAGAATGGTTTGAAGGCATCTGGCTCAGACAATACAGCTTCATGGACTATTCCATAATTCTAAAATTTTCTTTGTGTCCCCATAAGATACAGTGCCCCCCTCCAGCAGGAAGTAGTAAGAGAAGCTATGCCCAAATTCCCAAATATACCAAGCTGGCTCTGGAGATGTGTAAAAGTTAAAACCTTCCTGTTTTTTTTTTTTTTAAAAAAAAAAGAAGAAAAGGGGAAGTGCTGTGGGATGGTCTGTATGTCAAATCTGTTGCTCTGATTGGTTAATAAATAAAACACTGATTGGCCATTGGCTAGGCAGGAAGTATAGGCGGGACAAGGAGGAGAATAAAGCTGGGAAGTGGAAGGCTGAGTCAGAGAGACACTGCCAGCTGCCATGATGAGAAACAGCATGTGAAGATGCCGGTAAGCCATGAGCCATGTGGCAAGGTATAGATTTATAGAAATGAATTAATTTAAGCTGTAAGAAAAGTTAGCAAGAAGCCTGCCACAGCCGTACAGTTTATAAGCAATATAAGTCTCTGTGTTTACTTGGTCAGGACTGAGTGGCTGTGGGACTGGCAGGTGAGAGAGATTTGTCCTGACTGTGGGCCAGGCAGGAAAACTCTAGCTACAGGGTTACTTGATGTTTCTAATCAGGTCAGGTTGAGGACCAAGGTCAACAGGGAGTAGGAAGGGAACCTGAGATGTCATGCTAAGAGAGTTTGGACCACAGTCTTGTGAGGTTCGTTAAGTTTATGAGGCTGATGTCACATAGCAGACCACTAATGCTGGTTGTTGTGGTGGTTCCAATTTCCTGTGAGGTCTTGGTGTTGGCTAAGTCACACATGAGATCATCTTGTCCTGGGTCTCTTGTAGACAAGATAGTGGCTGGACAAATAATGACACCTGGGTGCGGCCCACACACCCATCATGGCAAAGTCTGTCCAGGTTGCTTCTCTGGTGTGACCCAGACATCATGAAGGCCATGTTTTGTGGTCCTGGGTCCTCCTAGTTAAGCTTATCTCTTGAGTTTGATGAAGAGAGGTGAGGTCCACAACCCTCAAAGTTAATTTTGACCCAGGCTTCTTGGTAAGTTAGCCCCCAGCTCACACTGGTATTGATTGGCTGGCAGGATCCCATTGAGGTCACTTCATGGTCTTTTTCCATGATGTCATTCTGCAGACCACCACCCCATGGTGTTAAAATGTGTCCACCCTTTCTGGAGTCATATGTGCTGTAGGTCACACCTGAGATCAAAGTGCTATCCTTGATCTGTTGTAGTCCTGACAAAACCTGGGCACAGGGGATTCCTGGGTGCGGCCCACACACCCTCTATCCAGTGTGTGCCTATTTGATATTCATATGTGACCCAGATGGTCATGAAGGCTGTGAGGTAGTCTTGACTCCCTGATTTGAGCATGGTTGCCTGAGCTGGGTGAAAGGTGTGCATAGTCTATACATCTTGAAGGTAATATGTGGAAATTCAGTGATTAAACCACCAATGCTTTTGTTAGTACAGTGGGTCCATTCTTGTTGGAGGGTTTCTTGTGGGCTAACTCACACATCAACTTCTCCTGTATTGTTTGGAGTCCAGACAGCATGTGGTCAGACTTGAAATGTGGGTGCAGCTCACATGCTCCTAAGCACAAGGTCTACCCATAATGGCTGATGGTCATTTGTGGCTCAGACACAGGCAAGGATGTCCTTTGGTCCTGGCTCCCCTGTATTGTTCATGGAGCCTGGTTTGGAAGTGTGGCCCAAACACACTTGAAATTTGACCTGAGGTTCTTGGTGGTCAAACAGCCCCCAACTTCCATTGATACCCTACAAAATAAACTAACATGAAGGTGATGCCTGGTGGTCAGACCAGGTCAGGGGCATGGGTATATCCATTTCCTGGGTGTTGCCTGCCAGTAAGCCTGTCACAGAAGCTGTGTCTAGGCCCCTAAGCCTGTCATGACTGCTGTGTGGTCAAGCTATTTTGGGGACCTCCTCCCTCCTTCAATAAACAGCATTCGGCATAAAAAAAAAAAAGCCAAGTTACAACGCAGTAACCAGACTTCATGGGAGAATCCATGACAGCCAGCCAGACCTCCTCCAAGAATATAGAAAGCATTCAACATTATGTAAAACTCTGTAACAATGCAGGATTTTTCTTTTGTTCTTTCTCTGTTGTAGAATATTATTTTAAGGTGTGATACTGTGTCTGTTTAAAACACCTGATGGTCTAATAAAGAACTGAATGGCCAATAAAAAAGAATTTTTGCATCTGTGCTAATTATTAGGTCTAAATTTTCTTGGGGCCTTTAGGGTGAGTTTGTTCTCACCAAAGTATGTGCATTTAGGCAAATCTGAAGTAAAAGACCAGTTTGGCTTTTGTGTTCCTGATAAACTTGTCACATTTGTGCATTAGTCTGCCTATAGGCATTTGTCCTGTTTGTTCTTTGGGCCACGTATCAAAACATTTTTTCATAAGTTCTGAACAAGCACTTCATAATTTATTGTCAATGTGGAATGTATCTACATATGTTTGCAAACTTCACTCTTCTAACTTGTAGCTTTTCTTTTTCAGCAATTTACTAACGTTGACCCTTTTTTTTGTTTTTTGTTTTTTTTGGGCGGGGGAAGAAAAGGGTTTATTTCACTTATACCTAAACATCACAATCTATCATCAAAGGCAGGAACCTGGAGATGGGAATGAAGCAGAAGCCATGGAGCAGTTGTACTTACTGGCTTGCTTCTCATGTCTTGCTCAGTCAAGTTTCTTATATCATCCAGGACCACGTGCCTAGGAATGGCACTACCCACCATAAACTGGGCCCTTCCATATCAATGATCATCAAGAAAATGTCATACAGGCTTACCTACAGATCAAGATTAGGAAGGCATTTTCTCAACTAAGATTCCTTCTTCCCAGACATGGCTAGGTTTGTGTCAAGTTGACAAAAACCAACCAGTACCCCTCTGAGCTTTCCAGCCCCAGGAGCCTCGTTCTTACTCCAAGTTGGATATTTTCAACTACTCATGTCAAATATGAAGGTACATAAGACTTTCAGGTATTACCCTCTTTTCTTTTGCTGGTTCTATGTCCCTGGCTCCACTAGAATTCTTCTAGTCCATTCCTGTTTTAAGAATGGAATTTCTGAAATGTGTTGACCCATTTTTCTTTCTTTCTTTCTTTTTAAAAGATTTATTTATTTATTTATTTATCATGTATACAGTGTTCTGTTTGTATGTATGTCTGCATACCAGAAGAGGACACCAGATCTCATTACAGATGGTTATGAGCCACCATGTGGTTGCTGGGAATTGAACTCGGGACCCCTGGAAGAGCAGTCAGTGCTCTTAACCTCTGAGCCATCTCTCCAGCCCAACCCGTGTTTTAATTGTGAGAGAGTTTTCAGAATTATATAGATGTGTTTAAAATTGCTTAGAATATGACTTTCCCGAAAATGTCATGTTCTTTTGCCCATTTATTTACTCATTCTCTTCAACTCTGACTTTTTGTCAGCTTACTCAGATCTACAATTATTATGAATATTATTAACAGTGAATACAAGCTACTTTCAGAAATTTCAAACCAAAAGCTAAAACTTATTTTCAAATTCGCTATCATAAATTTCTACCTGGGACTTAGTTCTCTGCCCTGACTGCAGATGTCCTGTACCTGGTCTTCCACTTGTAGAATTCAGATATTTCCCAGCAGGCACAGGTCTATAAAGACATTGTATGGGAATTTTGGACTTGAGCTCCTCTTTTATCTCTGGATTATTTTTGGTGTTTGCTAAAATATAAAGTCATGGTGTCCACAGCTATTGTGACACCTGGCATGTGATACCAGTAAAATTGGCTGTGGATGGAAAATGGGCTGAGACCATTTTTGGCAATTGGAGAATATTGATTTTTTTTTTAAAGTGTTCCCATGTGCTTTCTTCATTCCAGACACTCCTTGTCTAGGAATTTAGATATAGTATACACCTATAGGGATGTTCACACCACAGCGTTTTCTGTAACAGAAGATCAAAAACACAACGCAAACAAACAAAAACTTCAATCAGGCTAAGGTGGCCCATACTCTTAATCCTAGAACTGAAGAGGTAGGAGCAGGTCTACCTCTGCGATTTCAAGGCCAGATTACTCTACAAAGCAAGTTCAAGATCAGAGAGCGATACATAGTGAGACCTCGCCTTAAAACAAACAAAACTCCAAACAGGTAGAGGTATTTCAGTTTGGGTACTTCTAATTATGTCGATTATAATCCATTAAATGTCCTGTGCCGTTTAAAACTAGAAAGAACATAAATATATATTTAAATAAGGAGAAATACGTCGTTTAAAACCTTTGGTGTATTTCTTTTCGACGGACAAAAGGACACACCTGTGTGAGAAAGTCAAGAATATCATAAACAATACACAAAATGTAAACGACTGACGGCGTCGCGAAGAACGCAGGGGTGAGGGCGGGCGTGCTGGACTCTGGGTTCCCTGGCCAGGGCAGTTCTGCCGGTGCAGGTAACAATGCGCGTACGTGCGATACCGGCCTCCGGCTACAGACGGCGCTGTTGCAACCCAGGGCTGGCTGACGAGCACCACCGTCCGCGCGTCGTCTGACGTCGTCACGGCGGGCCACGACGCACGCCATCCAGCGAGGCATCTGACACAGCTCTTTCTTGCGCGGGCGCCGTGGATTCCCCGGCGTCTCCTGGCGGCCTTGAGGTCGCCACTCTGGCCGCTCTGGCCCGCCTGGCGTTGGGTGGGCGGCCGGTCTGCGCCCACATGAGCCAGCGGCATTATGGCCGCAATGGTCGTGGTCGGGGCCGGGACTTCGCCGGCCGTGCCCCACCCAAGAAGAAGGTCAAAAACCACATCCCGGAAAGGTAAGGCGCTGTGGTTTCGGGCTGGGTCGTTCCGGCTGCCGTGGCGGCCTCGCTCCCTTCCGCCTCCCAGAGTCGTCCGCGTGGAACCTCCCCGACCCCCGCGTTCTAGGGTCTCAGGTCTGCCCCGACAGGGCTGGCTCCGTGGGGCGCCGGCCAGCGCGGAAGTGCGCTTTGGGGCGCGGCTGCCGGCGTTGGGTAGTCCCTTGAGCCCTGGGAGCCGCAGTCTTCAGACTGTGTAGGCGCTGTGTGAGGGAGCCGGTCCGAGCTGAAGACACCCTGCCCTCAGGACCCGCTGGAGAGGCTCTGTCACTTCCAGGACTCCGGAGGCGGAGGTGTCATTTGAGGGAGTTTTCCCTGTCTGTGCCGGTGGGTAGGTTTTAAGATTTTGTTCACAGATGCTGTGAACGCTTTACTTCTTGTGACGGCCTGCTTCCTTCCCAGATTTCAAAAGTCGGTTGTTTTCTTTCTTTCTTTTCTTTTTTTTTTTTCGAGACAGGGTTTCTCTGTGTAGCTTTGCGCCTTTCCTGGATCTCGCTCTCTAGACCAGGCTGGCCTCGAATTTAGAGAGATCCCCCTGCCTCTGCCTCCCGAGTGTTGGGATTAAAGGCGTGCGCCACCACTGCCGGCCAGTTGTTTTCTTTCCACAAATAAGGAATAGCTGAAGACAGGCGTGGCCAGACTGGCCTCTCCTCTTCCTAGAATTCAACAAATCTTTTGTTTTATCTCCACAAATAAACAATACCTAAAACCCAGGATGGACAGACCGTCCTCTCCCCATTCCCAGACTTCAATAAGCACTTGATCTCCATAAAGAGCAATACCTAAAATCTAGAATGTACATAATGCCCTCTCTACCTTCCTAGATTTTAGTAAGCGCTTCCTTTTTTCTCCTGATTTTTGGTTTTTCCAGACAGAGCTTCTCTGTGTAGCTTTGGAGCCTGTCCTGGAACTCACTCTGTAGCCCAGGCTGGCCTCTAACTCACAGAGATCCTCCTGCCTCTGCCTCCCGAGTGTTGGGATTAAAGGCGTGCGCCACCACCGCCTGGCTCTCCTGAATATTTTTAAAGTCTGTCAGCTTTCCTCCATCGTCACCCCGGTGCAGAACTTGCTTGACGTGTTCCAGAAGACAGGTGTCCATTTATCTACTCTCATTTCCTTCTAATCCATTCTTAGCATACTTTAATATAGTTAATTATTTAAACTGAATATCGAGTAGTAATTGGGAGACAGCTCATAGATGTAAGGTAAAGCTTGATTTTAAAAATAAAACACCAACTCTTTGTCATGGCCTGTCACAGTAGGCTCCACTGTTCTGGGGTCCTCTTATCTCCAGCCCGGTCTCTTTCCACTCAGTCCTCACTTTCTGATCTTCATGTGTACTGAATGAACCCTGCTTAGCTGTAATTCATGGACATAAACTACCTCAGCTCTCACTCTCCACGCTGACCCCTGGCGTGACTGAAGTTCAGGCTGTCTACTCCTATAAGAACTGATGTCACTTGTGTGGAAACTGAGAACACTGTGCAGTCCAAGTATTGTGTTTGAGCCCTTTCAGCCAGCGTGTAGGTATTCATTACTCCTTGCATATTTTTAGTTACCATGCAAAATATGAGTCTCATTATGACATTTTTCTACATGTATGTCATTATCCTTTGCTCATACTCACCCCCAGGAATACACCTTCCCCTTTCTCCTGCCCACATTTTGCCAGTTTCTTTCTTCCCCTAAGTAATTCACCACTTTTTTTCATGTCTCATATGTATGTATATACATTATATATTTAAAACTAGATTCCGCATAGGAGGGAAAGTACACTATTTGCTCTCCTTCCCCTTTTCTGCCTCTTGTTGCCCCCCCCTTCAACCCCCATCCTCTGACACAGCCCCCCTCTGCCTTCATGTCTGATACATTGCCTTGGTATCTGATGCTAGGCTGGTTTATTAGGGGTATGAAAGCTCTGGCCATTTTGGTTTTAGGTATTTCCTGTTTTGTGTTGTCTTGCATTTATTTTCAAGATGGGGAAACAGAAGAAGAAAGTGCAGGTTGTTATTTGTGGAAAATGAACAGGTTGAGTGACAAAAGGCAGAGCAGAGTAAAGGGACATTTTGTGTGTTCTGGGTGCCTGGTTATCTTGGAGCCTTGTTCTGTTGGGAGGCAAGGCTGACATTCAGTCTAACAAATACTGTGTGTCACAGGTGGAAAGACTATCTCCCAGTTGGACAGCGGATGCCTGGGACTCGGTTCATTGCTTTCAAAGTTCCTTTGCAAAAGGTAAAAGTTAATTCAGTATTTTTTCAGAAATCTAAATTCCCCATGGAGAACATGGAGAGCCCCACTGGCTCTCAGCCTGGTTGCTCTCTATTTTCCTGTTTTATGTCACTTTACTAACCTGAAATAAGATTCACAGATCAGTAGGATATCTCAGTTTAAGGAAAAGACAGTATAATTCCCTAGCTATAATATGAAGACTAATTATAACTTGGTTGCATTTTGTGTCCATCTGACTAAACTGGATAGTTGAGTGTTGACTGTGTTGATAAGCTGGTTATTCTACTTTTGTTTCTCCCTTACCTAGTTAATGTTGACTAGGACATTCTAAAGGGATTCAGGCGGGGACATCAAACAGACACAGAAATAAGTGTTCCAAGTGGCTCTTTTTTCCCCACCACCGGAAGCGAGGCTGTTAGGAGCTTCCCGAGGCGGACTGCCCTTTGCTTCTCATCCGTGTTCATCTCTTGGGGCTGGAGTAAATACAGAATGTGGTGCAGGACTTTAAGCAGCCTTGCTCTCTCTACCTCACCCTCTGACAGAAATTTGAAGCAAAGCTTATGCCAGAAGAATGCTTCTCTCCTTTGGATCTTTTTCATAAAATCCACGAACAAAATGAAGAACTTGGATTGATAATTGATTTAACATATACTCAGCGCTATTATAAAGCAGAGGTAAGTAGAACCTCTAAATTAAAAAAAAGAATTCATAGTAATTTCATAGTTTCTGTCCTGTGCTGATGTGAAAGCTGAGCTTTGTTTATGGGAAGTAACAATTTTAAGGAAAAGCAAATAGTTTCCCTAATTTCATGTTGAAATGGGATTGGAGGCCAGGCATGGTAGTAAATGACTACAATCTCAGACTTAGGAGTCCAAGGCAGGAGGATCACAAGCTCTAGGCCAGTTTGGACTATATAATTAAGTCTTAACAACAACAACACACACACTAGATTGGAGACATGAATTGAACTATAATATGTAGTGGTTATTACCTAAGTCTCTTTCATTAGCAAAAGCTTTGTAACCACTGAACATTAATTCCCCCTTTTCCTATACTCCTGACCCCTAGTAACCTCTTACCTGCTTTATTATATGAATTTCCCAGTATTAGTATCTCATACAAGTAGCATAAGGTAATATATATTTAAATTTTTAAATTTAATTTAAATATTAATTCCATCATTTCCCTCCTCCTTCCTTTAACCCCTCTCAACCCCCCTTTTCAAATTCATAGCCTCTTACTCTTTTTTTTTTTTTTTGCTATATGTATATACAAATAAATATACAAATGTAGCCTGCTGAGTCCATCTAGTTTTGCTTCTATGTATGTTTTTAGGGCTGACCACTTTAGGATGCTTATATCTGAAGACGACTTCTCCCTCTCCCAGCAGTTCTTAACTGCCTGTAGCTCTTCCTCTAGGGCAGGCCCTCTGCAGTGTCTCCCATCCCTGTTGGCATGTCCACTGGTATTACTGTTCAGATCTTGTGTAAGCACCCACATTGTTGAAATTTCATGGGTGGAGCCTTCCCTATAGCATGTATAAAATGTAATCTTGTAGCTGACATCCTGGTCTTTGGGGCTCTTAGAAACTTTCTACCTCCCTCTTCTGAGTGTTCTTTCTCTGAGCCTTAAGATGTAAGGGCTGTGTTTTAGATGTATCAATTGGGGCTGGGCAGCTCGGTCTGTTGTTGTCTGTATTTTTGACTAGTTGTGGCTTTTTTTTTTTTTTTTAAATAGTCTGTCTGCTGCAGGAGGAAAAAAAAGTACCTTTGTGTGAGTTATACTTATCTGTGGAGAAATTTTTTTGTTTGTTTTTTCGAGACAGGGTTTCTCTGTGTGACAGCTCTGGGCTGTCCTGGAACTTGATTTGTAGACCAGGCTGGCCTCGAACTCACAGAGATCCACCTGCCTCTGCCTCCCAAGTGCTGGGATTAAAGGCACACTGTGCCACCACTGCCCATCGAGTAACTTTTTTGTTGTTGGTTTTTTGTTTTTTGTTTTTCGAGGCAGGGTTTCTCTGTAGCTTTGGAGCCTGTCCTGGAACTCACTCTGTAGCCCAGGCTGGCCTCGAACTCACAGAGATCCGCCTGCCTCTGCCTCCCGAGTGCTGGGATTAAAGGCATGCGCCTTTTTTTAAGATTTATTTTTATTTATTTGTATGAATGTTTTTGCCTGCTTGTATATATATGCACTGCAGACATACCTGGTGCTTGTGGAGGCCAGAAGTTGGCATTACATCCCCTATAACTGGCATTACAGATGGTTGTGAACTGCTATGTGGATGCTGGGAATTGAACCTGAGTCTTCTGCAAGAGCAGCCAGTGCTCTTAACTATTGAACCATCTCTCCAGCCCCAGTATTATGTAATATACTTGTCTTTTTGTGCCTGAATTATTTCACTAATTATGTCTCCGATGTTTATTGAAGCACATACCAGAATCTTTTCTGACTCCATATTTAAGTTATGTGTATATGCTATATTTCATGGTGGCTCCTATTTCACCCCATTCTGCCTTCCTTATCCTCCACTTTGTATGTGTGTGTGTCTGTGTGTCTATGTCTGTGTCTGTGTGTGTGTTGAGGGGCGGGAGTGTTCTTTGTTTTGTTTTTTTCATGAGAAAGAGTCTCACTCTGTGGCCCTTACTGGCCTAAAATTCATTATGTATACCAGGCTGGTTCCAACCCACAAAGATCCGCCTACTCTTGCCTTCCATGTGCTGGTATTAAGTGTGTGCATTATCATGCCCAGCATGTTCTGTCTTATTTTAAAGGAGCTCTAAACATTATAGAATTTATCTCTACATTTCTGGTATGCATGATATGTAAAATACAATACTTTTTTCCTTTATATAAGTTCTTTGATGTCAGATTTATAATCTGATAGCCCCTAAATGTCATAAAAATTGTCATTTTGAAGTTGGTTGTCATAAAGATTGCTGTCCATGTCTTTCACTTTCTATTTGTCTCTCTCTTGAATTCTGTGCTTTGAGAGATCCAGCCAGCCTGTACTCTCTAGATGTTAGCGGTGTGCCTTCAAGTGCTGATCGAGTCCATTGTTCTCTGTCAGTGGGCTAGCACAACCAGATTCAGGATTGTTTTCCTTTCTCCTTTCTTTCTCCTCCTGTTCCCCTAACCCTGGGGATTTCCTTTCTTTTCCCACTTTCCTTCCTTCCCTTCCTTCCTGTTTTCTTTTGGGTTTGGTATTTAAAGCAGAGTCTTACTATGTAGCCCTGGCTGACCTCACGGTCTTCTTGCCTCAGTCTCTCTCATGCTGGAATTACAGATGTACAGTACTGTACCTGCCTTGATTCTTTTTTTCTTTTTCTAATTTAAATTTGAGATAGCGTCTTATATAGGCAGGGCTGTCCTCAGTTGCTGAGGATGCCCTTAAACTCCTGATCCTCCTGCCTCTACCTCCCAAGTGCTGTGATTACAGGCATGAACCACCACAGCCAGATTGATTTCCTTTTCTAAACAGTCTTTAGTTGTTTTAATGTGTGTTTGTGTGCTGTACCATATTCATGCTGGAACCTACAGAAGTTAAAAAAGGGTGTCAGATCCACTGGAACTGGAGTTACAGATGGCTTCATGAGTTTTGGGAACTGAACCCTCATTCTCTCTCTCTTTTTTTTTTTTTTTAAAGATTTATTTATTTATTATGTATACAGTATTCAGCCTGCGTCCCTGCAGGCCTGAAGAGGGCACCAGATCTCATTACAGGTAGTTGTGAGCCACCATGTGGTTGCTGGGAATTGAACTCAGGACCTCTAGGAAGAGCTGTTGGTGCTCTTAACCTCTGAGCCATCTCTCCATCTCCCCCTCATTCTCTCAAGAGCAGGAAAGGCTCTTAACTGTGAGCCTTGATTTTCTTTTTAACATGACAGTTTCCAGTGTGTCTATATATTTTGAGATGGGTTCTTGCTACGTTGCCCAGGCTGATCTTGAACTCCTGTGTTCAAGTGGTTCTTCTACCTAGCCTGTTGGGACACAAGGACTACAAGGGTGTGCCACCATGCCTGACATAAGACATTTTCATAGATGGTCATGCGTCCTTCCATTAGGGGGCATATAATGAGTGGTTGTCTCTTATGGTATTAGTAATTGTTGATAACTGATCTATTAATTCCTTTGAAGCTTCAAAAAGTTGATTTTCCTTTTTCTTTTTTCTTTTTTGAGACAGGCTCTTGCTGTGTAGCCCAGGCTGACTTCAAACTCAAGATTTTCCTGCCTCAGCCTCCCAGGGTCTAGGATTACAGGTGTATGCCACCATACCAGGCTATTCAAGGTGAATGTTATCATTCATGTTTCATTTAATGACGTTTCTGCTTGTTTATTTACTGAGTGATGTCAACAGGATTCTTTCCTCTAGGTAACACCTTTAAAGTAATACCTTGGGTCCCTAATACCTGCCAATAGTGACTAGTCAGAATTTAATTAAGTTTTTCTCTCATTACAAACTCTCCTGCAGTTGCTTTTTCCAGTCGGAGCACAGTTGGAGGGCCTCTCTTCAGATAGTTGGAGCTTCTCAGTTTGGCTCCTAAAACCTTTTTTGAAAAATATTCTTGAGAATTTCATACATGTATAATTTGTATTTTGATCACAGCGACCCCAATACCATAGCCGATTGCTCCTGGTTTGCACTCACAATGTCATGTCCTCTTCTTTTTATGTGTATTGCTCATTTTTTTGTTTGTTCAACACATGCTTGAAGGTGCCTGTGGGTGGTAGAAGGGATTAGAGCCCCTGCAGCTGAATTACAGGTTGTGAGCTGCCTGATGTGGATGCTGGGAATTGAACCCAGGTCCTTGGCAAGAGCAGCAAGTGCTCTTCAGCTCTGTCCCTCAGTCATTTCTCTACCCTACCCTGACACCACATTTTTAAAAGCAACTCACTGAGTTCAAAATTAGTGCTGCCCAAGAGCACGTGGGTGTGAAGCCATCTTCTGGAAAATGGCCAACTACCCAGGGCCACACTTCTGAAGAAGAAAACTGATTCTCCCTTTACAGGTAGCTCTCAGCTGCCAAAGCTTCTCAGCTAGATTAAACCATTTCTTAGTCCTAATCTTTTGACATGTCCTGATCATCTCTGATCACTTTGCATGAAAGAGTTCCGGGCTCATCTTTTTTTTTTTTTTTTTTTTTTGGTTTTTCGAGACAGGGTTTCTCTGTGTAGCTTTGCGCCTTTCCTGGAACTCACTTGGTAGTCCAGGCTGGCCTCGAACTCACAGAGATCCTCCTGCCTCTGCCTCCCGAGTGCTGGGATTAAAGGCGTGCGCCACCACCGCCCGGCTCCGGGCTCATCTTAACTGTTTCCTGCCCCACCTGACTCAGCCTTTGCAGAAAGCTTTGTTTTCTTTCAGACATGTGAGTGTCAGGTAGATTCATTGCTAATAGACTGACATTGTTGTGAAGCTTTTCTTGTGGACAGAGCTAGGAACTCTGTGTATAAAAATCATGATAGCACTTTCCACTTAAACCCAGAGTTATGTATTTTTCACCTAACCTCTCTTTTTTCCCTAAGGTGTGTGTGTGTGTGTGTGTGTGTGTGTGTGTGTCTGTGTCTGTGTGCGTGCGTGCGTGCGTGCGTGCGTGTCTGCTTGTCTGTGTCTGCCACTTGTGTGCAGGTACCTGCTGAGAAGAGGGCGCCGGATCCTCTGGAGCAGGAGTTAGAGGCTGTTGTGAGCCATTAGGCGTGGGTGCTGAGAACTGACTGAACTACGTCCTGGAAGAACAGCCGGCACTCTTAAGCACTGAGCCATCTCTCCAGCCCCTCACCTGCCCTTTCCTTTCTCGTGTCCACAGCTCCTTTTGCCCAGCTCATTACTACTTTGTGAAGGCACAGAAAGGTGAAATAATTAGATAGAACTGTCCACATAATTTTTAGTCACACCATATATACCCTCATTCACGTGGAATTTGGTGTGTTTTGTATACCTAGTGACTGTCCTACAGTTTTAATGAAATCAAGTGCTATTTCCTGGTTGAAACAGCTTTGTAAGAAGTGACTCTTTAGTCAGAATTGCTGTCATAGTAAGCTTATTATTATCAGTTTATTTTCATGCTCCTCAAACATTTTATTATATACCTACAAATGAAATAATGTACATTTTCTTTGTTTTGCTTTGTAGGATTTGCCAGAAACTATTTCTTACATAAAAATTCTTACAGTTGGCCATCAGGTACCCAGTAATGACACTATTTTTAAGTTCAAGTGTGCAGTTAAAGAGTTTTTAAAGAAAAATAAAGACAATGGTGAGTCCTTGTGGTTTTTCTTTTCTGTCTGAACTCTGTTGTACATTTTGAATGGGTTTAGAGACTCTTAAAATCTTTTTTATTTTAGTTATGTGTGTGTGCTTGTAGCTACATGCATATAAATGCAGGTACTCACAGAGTCCAGGGGCCTCAGATTCCCTCCATCTGAGTTATGGGCAGTTGTGAGCCATCCGACATGGTTGCTGGAAAACTGAATTTGGGCCCTCTTCAAGGGCAGATGTGCTCTCAAGGACTGAGCCATCTCTCCAGAGCAGTTTCCAAACTTTTGATATTGTTAATATTCTGATAGTAGGTCTGTTGTCTCTGAAAATGGCAGCTGTTAGTAATAAAGTGTTTTCCCTCTTGTTGGCCACACAGAAGCAACTTGAGTGAGAAATGTGTAATATGATGGAAGTGTTTCCCTTTTCCTGTGGTTAAGGGGTAAGATGTAGAAGATTAAGAATATCAGGGTCTGCGAGTTACATAAAGAGACAACCAGAGTCAAAGGTTAGGAGCGAGTCTCCTAGGAGAACAGCACAAATAGGCCAGTAGACTCTCCTCTTTGCCACACATACTTGAGGTGTTTCTGCTGGTTTTCCATTCTGAGTACACTTGTGGTTGTTACTATTATCAAAAGTGAAGGTGGGCTGAGGTCTGCAGCTTAATTGCTGAGCACTTGCCTGGCTTACATAAGCCCAGTTTCAAACTTCAGCGTTGCACACACACAAACACATTCTGGTTTCCTCTCCATGGTAAGACAAATGGCTTTGTCTGCTGCAGCTTTAACCCGAATGGCTGCCTCTACAGTTTGCATAGTGTGTCTAAGCAGTACTTGCAAAGTTTGCACAACAATGAATTTTTGGTAGGTGATTCTTGATAACATGTTTCTAAAGCCACTTTTCAATATAGCAGTAATATTTCACTAATTGTGTTAGTCTGCAGAAAATTGTCTTTAACTTATTTTTGGTGGCTCTTGTTTCCTTTACTCAATTCTGCGTTTCTTGTTTTATAGACAAACTTATTGGTGTCCATTGCACCCATGGCTTAAACAGGACTGGCTACCTCATTTGCAGGTGAGTTGCCAACCCAAAAGCCAAATAGTGTTTGGTGTGTTTGTCTGGTTACAGTGGTAATGTAAGCTTACATAGAAATGGGTGAATTACAGAGCAGTGTTGTCTCCACCTAGAGACTGCCACCAGCAATACCATTGTAGACTTCACAGATGCAGATAGAAGTACATCTGTGTGGCTTCAAGTACAGTAGACATGCAGATTTACAATCTAATAGGTGGTAGGTATCTTCCTATGGAAGTATTTGGAAACCTTATGTTTTAAAGGTTATACTGTTTTGTTTTTTTTTTGCATACTGATAAACATGCAAGCCAGAAGTTTGTGGTATGATAAACTATTAGAGTGGTATGAGCATCTTTGGATCCACATGCCACTGACTCAGCAATAACCTCACTTGACATGCAGATGCTGAAATAGGATGCAGTCTGATGGCCCTTAAGGAATTGCTGTGCTGTGCTGTGCTGCTTGTCCATTCAGAAAATCCTGAGGTCTGGTTTGTGTGAGCAGTGTGGGTGCTGGTAAAGAGATTTAACTTGCCTCTGAAGAAATAAGGAAGACTATAATAATAATAGTTAAAAAAAAAAAAAAGAATATAGAACTCTCACTGTCAAGTGCTGAGGGGGACAGGAACATGGTACCGTGATGGGGAGGCTCTGACCTATCTCATCACGAAGACAGTATATTCCCATGGACAGTTTGAGAGACTCTGAATGTTAAAATAGTACTAGCTGAGTAGGGACACTGAAGAGGCTGGACATAAGGCTGAGCCGAGACCCTACAGAAGGATAGCATATACTTCGCTGCGGGGTGGGCAGTGCAGTAAGTGTGCCATAGAAGTGGAGCTGCAGGGGTGGGCAGGAGCAATTAGGCCATGCAAAGCCATGTTTAGGTCTGTTTGGTTTTTCTTGTTGTTGAACTTTTTTGGGTTTGTTGAAACCATCTATTTTTGCTGAATAAAGAATGCTCTAGAGAGGTAGAGGCAAGGAGCCATTAAATGGTTTTTGTATGAATTGAAGTGTAATGGTCACTTAGACCAGGATGGTGAGGGCATTCTGGTGGAAGGCTGTGGTCATCACTGTCAGGACCCTGGTGGTAGAATGTAAGTGAAGATGAGGGAAAAGTGGGTGACAGTGATGATAGCCCCTGTTTCTGACCTGTACAGTTGGTTACCCAGTATTTTTAGCTGTGATACTATTTTTCCCAGTTGCTTTATATGTCGTTGGTTCCTAATGAATACACAGTCATATTAAGGAAGCCTCCTGTTTTTTAGTTCACAAAGCATTTTGAAGAAAATGACTACAGAATCTGCCTTTTAATATTTGCCAGTTTGGTCATGTTATTAGTTATATTATTATTATATTAATGTAAGACCTTTATTAATAGATTTCTAAAGTTGGTCAGTCTTGGGATAGTCGTTTTCTGTGGTCATGGCATGTTATTCTGTAACTGTTGGATTAGATATGTAGTATTTTCTTAGGATTTATATCTCTCCACGTGTAAGTGGAGACCTGTTTTGATTTTTGTTTTTCTTTTCGTATTTTTAAGTGACCCAAATTATGTTGTTTTGTTAGATATTTGATTGATGTAGAAGGCATGAGGCCAGATGATGCAATTGAATGTAAGTATGGGAGGGGGGGGTGTCACTATTTTTCCTTCCTATGAAAGCTAAAGGCGGAAGTGTAGAGCCACTTTTCAAGTTCTGGAAAAAAAAAATTCATATGATCCAATAGAAGATGCCAAAAAGGAAGTGAAGAGAGATAAGGAAGGAAAGCTACGTCTTGGGGCTGGGGATGTGGCTCCATGGGAGAACACTTGCTCAGCGTGTGTGCAACCCTGAGTTTGATCTCCAGGACCAAAAGAAAGAAAGAAAATAATAGTACTATAAGGTCGTCTTTTGCCGAAAGCTGTGAAGGAACATATCTGCAAGTGATATGTGAGATGTAACCTCCTAATGATTAGTCAGTGAATATGAGCTGCGGTTTGCTTTCTCTGGGTAAGATTTCTTTCTGTGCAGCTCTTTCTAACAGTTACCGCATCCACTCCTCAGTATTCAACAGGTGCCGGGGGCACTGCATAGAGCGGCAGAGCTACATTGAAAACCTGCAGAACCGTCGGCTCAGAAAGTAAGTCTTCTTCCATTTTGTGGTGAGATTTGTGGTTAGGGAAGCCTCTTTTGTATAATTCAAGTAGCACATTACCCTGGCATCTTGCTCACTTGCTGAGCAAAACCTAAACAAATAGGAGTGGGGGAGTTGAGATCCTGTGTTCACACACCAAAGTACACAGTTACTGAACTGGCCACTGGAACTGGAATCTGGTGACACTGTGGGACACTTCTCTTTTAGGAACCAGAATGTTAGCACATCGAGGTCATGTGGTCTTGAAGACTCAGCACATCTTATGGAACACATCCACAGCACTAACAAGCCTGTGAACCAAGGACCTCGGAACAACTGGCCTGGTGGCCGTCCACCACCTCCCTGGCATTTTCATACCCAGACCCAGAACTCACAGCAGTCATTCAGGTACCTGGGCTTCCCCCTTTCTTAGAACTGAGATGGAGGCTACTTCAGACCAGGGAAGTACATCATATCTCACTTGGGAAATGGGAAATGAAAAAGTCTCAATTCAGTTAAAATAGTCTAGTAGGATTCTCCAGAGAAATGAAAGAGAAGAAAGGAGAGAGGAAGAGAAGGAAGAAGGGGGAGAGAGTAGGCAGGTAGATGAGAGGGGCCTTCACTAGGGTGATTGGCATGTGTGACTGGAGGTTGAGAAGCCCCTCAACAAGCCCTCTGTAAGCTGTAGACCCAGGGCTGCCAGTAGGGTGGCTCAGACCCAGGGAACATGGTAATTCTCTGTAGGAGTCCTAAGTAGTCCTGAGGAGCCTTGGGGGAGAGGTGGAAGGGCAGGAGAGGGTGAATTTGCCTTTCCTCCCTCGGCCTTTGTAATTGTACTGTAATCTCAGCCCGGAGGCTGGTGCCCGCCCACATGGAAGGCAGATCCTCCTTACTCAGTCTGCTCTTCCTGCATCAGTCTTTGTCAGAGACACTCTTGTTGACTGATAGAAAAATAATGCCTCCCTAGATCTGTAGCTTCTTTACGCTAGTCAAGATGCTACCTAAAATAACTGGTACAGCTTAGAAGATACTTTTAGCTATTAATTTAGTTGTATTTTTTATGAGCACTTGAGGATCATGACTGTCAGGCTGGATTTGAACTTGTCTCCTTACTCTGCCATTCACACTGTGTGCAATCTTGGGTGAGACCACATCTCTAATTTCCATTCTTTGAGGTGGAGATTTTAAAAATACATAATAACTATGGTTGTTCCCTGCTACATCTGTTAAAGCAAGTTGGTATGTTGTTACACTTTCAAAAAGATGCTGCTATTGACACTAAGAGTGGGAGTAACCCTTTTGAATCAGTTTTAGCGGCCATAAAGATGCTCATACCTGGTCAATTCCATGCTGAGACTCTACTTCTCAAATTGTACTGTCCCATACAGAGCTAGGTGCTCTGCATACAGTAGTATATATTATAAGATGCTAATCCCCCAAATAATGATGGTAGGAAAACTGGTAGTAGCCTGTGATTCTAAGAGTGGGGATACAGCTAAGTAACCATAACCATACTGTGACGTATTATAAAGCCACTGAAATTAAAGTTTGTTTATAATAGTAAAAAATAGTAGCAGGAGCTGGAGAAATGGCTCAGCAGTTAAGCATACTGGCTACTCTTGCAGAAGACTCAGGTTTGATTCCCAGCACCCACATGGCTGCTTACAACTTCCTGTAACAACAGTCAGAAAGATGAAAAGGGATAGAGACCAAAGAAACATCTGATCAAATTTGACTAAGTAGGAGAGGAGAAGGCGGGAGGGAAGGAGAGAGGGAGGGAGGGAGGGAGGGAGAGAGAGGGGAAGGGAAGAACGGAGGAGGAGGAGGAGAGAGAGAGAGAGAGATGTGTGTGTGTGTGTGTGTGAAGGTAACCTCCACTATCCCCTTCACACTCCCACCTTGTCTGTGATAGAGCCTCCTTAGTTCCACTGCACATGCTAGGCCAGCTGTCCTCAACTTCCAGGGGTCCTCCTGTCTGCCCCCATCTGGGCATAGAGATTGCAGACACATGCTACTGTGTCTCAGCTTTCTATGGGTTCTGGGCATCCAGCCCCAAGTCCTCACACTTGTGCACAAGAGCTTTACTCCCTGGGCCATCTCCCCACTCCTAGCTCCATTCTATAAAAAAATGAAGAGAAGGCCGGGCGGTGGTGGCGCACGCCTTTAATCCCAGCACTCGGGAGGCAGAGGCAGGCGGATCTCTGTAAGTTCGAGGCCAGCCTGGTCTACAGCGCGAGATCCAGGAAAGGCGCAAAGCTACACAGAGAAACCCTGTCTCGAAAAACCAAAAAAAAAAAAAAAAATGAAGAGAAAGATAAGTGATTATCTGCCCAGGTCACCCAGGTAGGAAAGAGTAAAATCAGAATATCTCTTATTTTTTAAAGCTTATTATATGTTAATCTTTTTTGTGTTTTTTTAATGTTAATCTTGATAATGATTTATTACTTCTTGTTTAAGAAAATTTTCACAAAACCAGAGTGTTTACCAGAGAGGCCTTATCCCTCCCCCTGGTCCGCCTGGAGAGGACTATTCACACAGAAGATTCTTCTGGAACGTGAAGCCAAACAGCAGTCAAGCAACCCAGAATAAGAAGTGGACTTCTGGTGGTTACCAGAGACCTTTCTACCCAGCCTACTGGGGATGGACCCAGTGAAGCCCACCTGGCTGGGCTCTTCTAGGGCCACCTGAGATCAGAGCTGGACAGAAGACAGCTGGATGGATTTTAATAAAATCAGGTCAAAAGAATTAAACAAAATTTTAAAATATTTTTTAACTTTTTAAAATCTTTTATTATTCCTTTATGTATATTAAGTTTAAAGATGAATTGCATTGGTGATCAGTCCAGAACACTTCTCATTACAGGCTTCAGCTTTTCTCAAAGATTTCTGAATGGATAAAAACTATTATGAACTTGCAAATTTTTTAATTGCCTTTTATTTTCCCCCGTATATTTCCTCTGCCCATGCTTATAATATTTATGTGTAGGTCTAAAGATTCATAGTGTTTTACCATGTTCTTTTACTAACACAGTTTTCAAGGGTATCTTTTTTCCCTTACTGTTGAAAGTTTCTACTAAAAGTCTAGCCAGTAGACAATTTCTTTGGCACGTACTCTCTTTACTTGTGGGACCCTGGTCAGTGGTCTTTCCTTGGTGGTCAGTGTTGGAATGTGACCAGCTTCTTACTCAACTGCCAGGTTAGCCATCTAACCCAGAGAAGTGTACATTTTAAGGGACTGATTGATTGTTAAGTTGCACAAAAGGAAACTAACCGATAACCAGAGTGCTGGTTAAATAATCATTTCTCTGACAGGGTAACTGCCAACAACAGGGTAGAACTGTCCAGAAGGCTTGAAGACCTCTGTAGATAGTAAAGGTCGAGCGGACTAGGAACGACCATCCATCCTTGGATACCTGGGAAGACAGAGGGTGTTGCTGACCCTGAGGCCCTCTCCAGGATCTGTCCAGTGGCCTCCCACACTGGAATGGTGCTCTTCCTCTGGAACACACTTCAGGCTCCTTAGAGGTGCTAATTACTTCACCTGTAGAACTCAGGAAGTTGCTCATCATAGTCCACAGCAAGTGTTTGGTGAATGCCTGGGCAATTTGACTTCTACCTTTAAAGCCTCTGATTTTGAGGATTTGTAAAACTGACCAACTAACACGCTCCACGTGGTAGTTACTTTCTCTCGTGTGTGTGAGCATGTAGGGTCTGACCCTGAGGAAGTCCCAGCAGTTCTATTCAGCCTGGCGCTAATTTGCTTGGTCAAGTTGCTCTACACTCATGTGATGACTCTTATTATACTTGCCACATTTAACAGAGTCAAAGTGCTTCTTGCTACAAGGCTCTCCTTGCAGAATTCTTGCAGTGGAGGTTCAGCATTGTAAGAAACTGGAGCAGACAATTGTGAAGCCAAAGAGGGCAAAGCTGGAGCAGGTAGAGAGGTGCATCCAGTCTTGAAGGTGTAAAGAATGCCTTGGCAAGCAGCTTCTGTGGAGGACACTGCCAGCAGAGGCCATTGCATGGGCTCTGCCCCCTCAGGAACTGTTTCTGCCACCTATCCTGCTCCTCTCTCTTTGGATTACCGACACCTTGTTTAAAGCCTTGCTTGCCATTGGATAACTCACAGCTTGTATTCTTACACATACTGGTCTAGCTTCTGTCCATGTCCCACTATCCAAAGGCCTAGTGGAAAGAAGCAGCAGCTTCTTAAAAAGTTTCTAGTGTCTACGTAGTATTTTTAAGTTATATTGTTATTTTAAGGGCACACATGAGTGCTTTCTCAGGTAGCTTTCCTGAGATTACCATGTAAAAGGCATCTTCTGTGCTATTCAGTTGTTAAGTCTCAGAGGTAGCCAGCTTAAGTATTTTTGCCTTATTCTATGTATTTCCCTCTATTGTTTAAGTAATACTCTTAGAGATCACCACTTCTTGATTTTCCAGTATGTGATGTGTGTTGATGAATTCTTCCCCTGGCACATGAGGAGTTAGCGCTCAGCCTACTCACCGTACGGTTGTCTCCCAGCTTTTGATGCATTCCTGTTACTAGGTAAATGTTAGTCTCATGAGCCATTGTGTTCATGGTTGTGGGGTCTTTTCCGTCTTCCCCTTTCCTTCACATTTTTGGCTCATTCATTTGGCCATTTTCCGTTGATACGTCAAATTCATTCTCCATATCTGATACATTATAAACAGTCTTGGTGTGAATGATGTGCCCTTTGGTTTGACTCCTTCCCTGAAACTTCTTACAGGCATTTTCCGTTTCTCATAGTTCTGGATGCTGGGAAAGATGGAGTCGACAAGAATTGGTTTTTGTAGATGGCTGGTACCTCACTGTCTTCATGTGCTCGCTCTTCTGTGTCCTACTACACCTCTCTTGCCACTCAATCCCTCCCTCCCCTCCCTCCCTCCCTCCCTCTCTATGATGTGCTGAGACAGGCTCAGGTGCCATGAGGCTGAGATGCTCTCCAGTTCACTCTTCTCAAGGATGTCAGTCATTAGATCAGGGCTCACCTTAGAGACCTTATTTTTACGTATTTGCCTCTTTAAAGACTTGGTCTCCAAATGCAGTCATATTTGATATGCTGGGGCTTGGAGCTTTCACATAGGAATTTGAGGAAGCAGAGCTGAGTCCAAAGGAAGCACTCTGCCAGTTCATTACACCTGGACATAGCTCCTGACCTGGGTTCTCTTCCCTCTTGTCATTCCTTAGAACCTTCTTCAAGTCTCCTGTTTCCCAGGGTACGACATTCATGACTGTAATTTCCCATTTGATCAGTTAGGTCTTTCACTGGCTTCTCAGGGCTGGGTGGGATGTAAGTGATTTCAGAATGCATCTGTTTGATTCTTTCTCTGCTCCTGTAGCTACAGTTGCAGGTGGGCTCTTCCAGTGCATCTGTTCTGCTGTTCGGGAACTTCACTGCTGGCTGCTGAAATCTCGTATCTTCTAATCTAGAGCCTTTGTCTGTGCCCTGTAATTTTTCTCTTGAAGTCTTAGGGTCTTCTTTATCTCAGATGTCATAATGTGCTTTCTATTGACAATGATATACATCAAGTGAGCCCTTTCAATGTGGTAAATTGCAAGAAAAAAATTTTAAGGTTTATTTATGCACATTAGTGTTCTGCCTATGTGTATGTGTGAGGGTGTCAGATCCTCTGGAACTAGAGTTACAGACAGTAGTGAGCTGCCATGTAGGTGCTGGGATTTGAACCCGGGTCCTGGAACAGCAGCCATTGCTCTTAACCACTGAGCCATCTTATTTAATGCTATTGTATTAGCATTAACCCCTAATTCTAGGGCAACTTATAGTTGGATGTTGGATTTCTTTCCTGAGACCGCTGATTTAATTATATATTTATATTTTTATTTAACCTTTTCACATTAATTTCTTTTTCTAGTATTTTTTTTCTGATATATTGGGCTGGAGATGCTGGGATTGAACCCAGGGTCTTGTGCATGCTAGACATGTACTCTATTATTGAGTTATACCTCCAGTCCCCTTCTGATCTGTATGTCTATATGATTTATATAAACAGTAAAAGATAAAAGAAAATTTTCTGATATATAAATATATTATCTATATGCTTAAAAAATAGACACAGGGTCTCAGTATGTTGCTAGGGCTGGCCTTGAACTTTCAAGGCTTAAGCAGTCTTCCTGCCCTAATTCTCCTGAGCAGGTGTTACTACAGGTACAGGCTCCCATGCCCAGCTCTAAATTTTAATTTCTAAGAGTTAGCTCTTTTTGGGGGGGGGGGGGGGGAAGCCTGCATTTTTTATCTTAACTGTTACGTCTTTAATATACTCACATTATGAGGGGTCCCATGTGAGATCCTAATTAAACATTCTTTCCAGTTAAACTAACAGCTTTCCAGAATTGTATCCTGTAAACAGTTCATGTGTGTTCCTTTCCTCTTGGAAGTGTCACATGGCTTGTGGCCTTGGGTTCCACGTTCCTCTCCTTGTCAAGGCTCTCTGTATCTGGCTGCAAGCTGACTTTTCAAGTCCTTCAGTGTGCACTGTGCACCCTCTGTCTGAATGCTAGTCACTTTGTGGTTATACTAGACCATACACTCTGGCTGGGATCTGTCCTGTGGTCTCTGAGCCAGCCATTCATGCTCAACTGGAGGAATCACTAGTCCTTTCCCAAAGCCCTATCCCCAATGAATACTCTCTTTCTATACACTGTACCTTGTGTCGTTATTTAATTTATATATCATGCTACTCCAGGTTCTGTACCACCATGTCAGAGTCCTGAACCCATCCTGTTGACAGCTCCCCTTTATGCAGAGACAGGCAGATCTCTGAACTCAAGGCCAGCCTGGTCTACAGAGCATGTTCCAGGATAGCCAGAGCTACACAGAGAAACCCTGTCTTGAAAAACTAAAACCAAACCAAAGATTCCCAAGCCAGTTAGGACGCCCGACTCTGGGCCTACATGGTACCTCTAGATCCACACCAGGTCCTCTTTTTATATTGTGACTCCACTGTCAAGTAAAGGGAAAGGCACACAGTAGGCAGTGGGATCTGGCTGCCTGAGCTGCTGCTAGAGGGTCAGGTGATGATCCAGAAGGGTGGAAAATCCACTCCCCCGGGGAGGATAGAAGGAGCCCAGCAAGCAGACGCCCTTCCTGTCCTGCTGTGGACTACTTGCATAATTTCCAGAGAAAGTCCAGACTAAGACTGCCATGCCAGGCTGCCTGATGTCTTTTTGACTTACTAAAGCTGGGCAACACGTTGTATTTCAGGGCTTTGTACCTTGCTTAAGACCTTCTTCTCACCACTGTGTTTATATACCTCAAAGAAGATACCAGTGACTGAATTCTTGCCTCGGGGTCTGCATTCTAGAGGACCTCGGGTGTTTTATAGATACTGTATCTGGCAGTCGTGAGCTCTTACATTGTTTAACCTTAACATGTGATTAATACACCTAGTCTCTTCTACTGACTTATCACAAACACTTGGGACTTTTGAGAACGCCAATATCAGTTATTGAAGATAATAATTTATCAGTAATTAAGGTTTCATTTGGGTTTATATTTGCATAACATGGGGATTAAGAGTATATTCTATTTAACGCACAAGAGCAGTTGTGAATGTTTATGCAACTCCATCACAGCATAACACTCTGCCAAGCCTTTTGAACCAACTTGCATATGCTATATCATGGTCTCTCTCATCTGTGGGAAGAGGGACCAAAGCTCTGAGATGATTTTTTTTTTTTTTTTTTTTTTTTTGGTTTTTCGAGACAGAGTTTCTCTGTGTAGCTTGGCGCCTTTCCTGGAACTTGCTTTGTAGACCAGGCTGGCCTCTAACTCACAGGAATTCCCCTGCCTCTGCCTCCCGAGTGCTGGGATTAAAGGCGTGGGCCACCACCGCCCAGCTGGGATGACTTTTTAAAAAGAAAACTAAAATGCATTCCTTTCTATATGCACTTCAGTGCCTGCAGACAAAGGAATATACAACAGTCCCAAACTCCACCCTCCCAATTCCCCCACTTTCACAGCTCCTCCCACCAACCCAGCCCCTGGCAGCCGCTGATCTAATTTCTTTCTCTTATCTTTTCTAAAATGCTGTGCAGGCAGAACTGGCATATGCACTTCTGGGTGGGGTTTCTTTCGTTTAGATGCTGCTTTTGAGGTCTGAGCTACAGAATGGATCGGCTGGTCACTCTTTCCTCTGTTCCTGAGTTCCATTATATGGTTGTCTTGAACATTGCTTATTCATTGGCCAGCTAAAAGATACTTAGGTTTTTAATTTTAAACCTGCCATAAACATTTTATGTATAGAGTTTTATGTGAACCTCTTTTCTTTTCCTTGGAGTGGGATAGTGGGATTGCTGCCTTGTATGTTTAACTTTATAATAAACTGTCAAACTTTCCCAAACAGATGTACTGTTTTGTATCCCACCAAGAAGAGTGTTCCCATTACACCCTCACTAACAATTAGTATTGTCAGTGTGTGTGTAGGGCAAGGACAACCTCTGATGTTAATTCCTCAAAGGCACTGTCCACCATTCCTCAAGAGGCACTGTCCACCTTGGGTTTGGGTTTGGTTTGGGGGTTGGGTTTTGTTTTGTTTTTTGGTTGTTCAAGACAGGGTTTTTCTGTGTAGCCCTGGCACTATCCTGGAACTCTGTAGACCAGGGTGGCCTCAAACTCAGAAATCTGCCTACCTGTCTTCCAAGTGCTGGGATTAAAGGCGTGCTCCACCATACCCAGCTCCACATTGTTTTTGTTTTTGTTGTTGCTGCTGCTGCTGTTTTGTTTTGTTTTTAAGACAGAGTGTTTCATTGGCAGAGAGCTTGCATGAGTAAGCTGACTGGCCAGTCAGTCCTGAGATCCACCTGTCCCCACTTCTCCGTCCCCTTATGGACCGAGCTATCTAACTCAAATTTTAGCAATTTTGATTTAAAAAAAAAAAGATGTGTTGTCTCACTGTTTTTTGAAATAATTTTAAAGATACAATTGGCATACACTATACATATTTAAAATTGTTTTGGTATATTTTTACATGTACCTATGTATGAAGCCACAATGAAATTAGAACGTATCTGTAGCCCCTTTCCACCCAGACCTTTTCCAAAGAATTACCGATCTATTGTGGCATTATGAATTTGTATTATGTAAATGGAGTCGGTGTGAACTCTTCATATGTCTGGCTCCTGGTCATTCAACATCATTGGGCTCATCCCTGTCAGGAGATGTAGCAGTACTGTAACAGCCTGGGATGCCAGGTCCAGCCTTCCTTAGTAACAGAAGGCCCTTTAATATATTAGCCCAATGGATCATATTGCCATATACACCAATTGTAACAATCTAAGGTGTGTTTTCTAGGTTCCCTTAGCTGTGGTGGAAGTGGGGCAAGTGTAGGCAAGATTTCTTCCACTTTGGGTAGCTCTCCTGAGTCTTGGGAGGCCAGCTCACAATAGATTTCAGGCCTCTGGCACGTCATTGCCTGTTCGTAATTGTATGGGGACATTCTTGGTACAAATTGGTAACCAATGCACAGTGAACCTCCTTCACACAAGCTTTGGCTTGGGAAATGTTTTCACTTTGTGTGTTTTTGTGCATGTACATGGAAACCAGAGGACAACTTCAAATAGCATTCCTCAGGAACCATTCATCTTTTGTTTCATGTTGTTTGAGACAGCATCTCACCATGTAACTCTAGCTGGCCTGGAACTAGCTCTGTAGACCAGGCTGGCCCCAAACTCAGAGATCTGCCTGCTTCTGCCTCCTGGGTGCTGGGATTAAAGGTGTGGACACCCAGTCCAATCTACTACTTTTTGAGACAAGTCTTGACGAAATCTGGAACTTACCAAGTAAGCTAGGCTGGCTGGCTAGTGAGCTGGGTGGTGCCACTGTCTCTGCCTCCCTTGAGCTGGGATTACAAGCATGCAACACCACACACAGCCTTTTTTTTTTTTTAAAGTGTGGGTTCTAGAGCTCCAACTCAGTTTTCCAACTAGCAAGGCGAGCACTTAGCAATTGAGTTATATCCTAGTGCTCACTTGGGATTTTAAAGCAGTGAACTGTGAAGTGCTTGTGCCATTTTACACATAGACCTGTAATATATGAGGCTGTGGCTTATTTTGAATTTGGATTTCATCCATGACTGAGGTTGAGACTTTTTTTATGGGTGGTTTTACTTTTTTCCTTACCTACACACACACACACACACACACACACACACACACACACACACACACACACACACCACTGTATGTAAGCCTGCAAGCCAGTTTTCTGTCTCAGAATTTTTTCCCTCTGTTTGTTGGTTTTGTTTTTGTTTCTTTTCTGAGATGGGTTTCTCTGGATGTCTGGTTTCACTGAATTCCTGGCTGTCTTGGAACTTGCTCTGTAGACCGGACTGCCTCAAACTCACAGAGTCCATCTGCCTTTGCCTCCTGAGAGCTGGAATTCTTAAACTGTGGCCTGAAGTGCTGCTCTCCTAGATACATGCAAGACTTCCTTCCCCCACCTCCTTCCAATCACTGATTCAGAATGACCCTTTTGATGTGCTTTCTTCATTATCCTAATTAGGAGAATAATGCCAGCAGCCTAGCACCCCCACCTTTCCATTTGTCTTGATTGCACGTATCACTATACACCTTCCATGCTAAGAAAATCATGAAGACAAACTCCAACCAAAGAAAATGGAAAACAAATTATGACACGATTAGTCTAGCTGGTAGGCTCAGGGATTACACATCACCTTCCTAAACTACTCTAAATAAAGAGACCATACTTCAGGTCAGGAAGTCCTCAGAAACAAGTCGCTAAGGGCTCTGGGATCCAGGGATGCTCCCAGTGACTGCTGGGACAGCACAAAGCAATAAGAGCCCCATAGTGGGGTCTCTAGTAGTGGAAAGGTGTGCTCACTTCCTTTAGGTTAATACTTTTCTTATCACAGGAAGAAAGTGGGGACATCTTTCGAAAGCCACAACATAAACCTTTAGTAGACTCAAAACCTGACCTCAATTTCCAGCCTCCACCCATGGCATGGATCCCTTCCACAGGAAGGTTCCGACAAGACTCGGTTGGCATTCGCATCCACAAGCTGCCCTAACACGGGTGACGAGTCTACGGACACACACTCATGATGATCCGCTCTACTTGGGCGGAGATCGGGAACTTCCGGAAGTGGAGAGCGTTGTTTCCGAGGGGACGGTTTTCCGAGACGGACACGAGACTGATGGTGAGTTCCGCCGGCGCGAACAACAGCTCTTTCCGCGCGGTCACAGTTTTGTGGGCGATGGCGTGCGTCTCCCGTCGCCAGCGTTTGTCGCGAGCCCTCCCGGGACGCGGGTGGAGAGCGATGAAGCCTCCGGAGCGCAGCTCGGGCCGGAAGGCCGCTCGGTTGCGCGCGCCGGGGCGCCCCCTGCCGGCGGTGCCGGGGGCTGATGACGGAGGAACCGCGTGCGGACCGCACAGCCACGGCGAGGCCCGGCGCTGGGAGGGAGGCGCGTCAGAGAGTCGCCCTGGCCCTACCCGGGCCAGCGGCCTCGGCGGGAGGGACCGAGGCAGGAAGTCCCGAGGACAGGGACGCCCCGTTGGGAGGCCCGGCCACTGGAAGCCGAGGGCAAGCCATCGTGGCGGGAGAGGAGTCAGGCAGGGACCAGACGCTACATGCGGGACCCCGGGACATAAAGTTAGGTTCTTAGCCTCAGCTCTGACTTCCTCCTGAAGGACCCTGTGACCATCAGGATAGGTTGGAATTGCATTACTGGTGGGCAGGGCCTCCATGAGGATGATCTTGGGGTGCTATTGATGAGGGGTGAGTCAGAATTAGAATTGGAGGTAGAGTCAGGACATGGGCACTGGCCGTGTTGTAACAGTGAGAGGCATCTGCCTTAGACCACTTTCTGTTGCTAATACCACAACACCTCATGGGGTGAGGTGTTTGGTGTGTGTGTGTGTGTGTGTGTGTGTGTGTGTGTGTGTGTGTGTGTGTGTGTGTGTGTCTAGAGGGAGAGAGGGAGGTGGTTTGGTTTGGTTTGAATGGCTTATTTTGGTTAGAGATTTTGGCCTGAGATCCTGGGACCAAATTAGCAAGAGATACGTAGCAAGATAGACCTTGCCAAATTAGTTTTAAAAGCAGACTCATGTAGCTAAAGTTTTCCTGCCTGGCCCACAGTCAGGACAAATCTCTCTCACCTGCCAGTCCCACAGCCGCTCAGACCCGACCAAGTAAACACAGACACTTATATTGGTTACAAACTGTATGGCCGTGGCAGGCTTCTTGCTGACTGTTCTTACAGCTTAAATTAATCCATTTCTATAAATCTATACCTTGCCACGTGGCTCGTGGCTTACTGGCATCTTCACATGCTGTTTCTCATCATGGCGGCTGGCAGTGTCTCTCTGACTCAGCCTTCTACTTCCCAGCTTTATTCTCCTCCTTGTCCTGCCTATACTTCCTGCCTAGCCACTGGCCAATCAGTGTTTTATTTATTGACCAATCAGCAACACAATTGACATACAGACCATCCCACAGCAGACTCACTTTGGAGATAAACAATTAATTTGATAATTGTTTTATGGGATTAGTGCATTTATGAGGGCAAAGTCCAAATTACCTTGTAAAGGCTCTGCGTTTAAAACATCTCATACTGATAGACTTCAACATGAATTTCATGGTGAGAAATGGGAGCTCTGTCTGACTGTTGTAAGGTATCTTTCTTAAGTGAGTTACACTAAAGAGCAAACTATCTCGAGGCATTCTAAGGGTTCTTTATTGTTAAAAATGAAAAAACAAAACACGTTTCCCCTCCCTGTTTTAAAGTTCTTAGATTTTGTTTGCTCACTGTACAGTGACCAGAATGTAGACCAGGAAATACTTTAAGAGGACAGTAATAATCCCAGTGCAGAAGACAGCTGTGCCCTGAGACCACATCCTCATGGAACACCAGGTTGATGGTAGTGTTCTGTACCCTCTCATTGACAGCATGACTGAAGATTGAATGTGTATCAAGAAACCATTCCCCACCCCCCACCCCACCCCCACACTTTTGTTAAAAACCTTAGACAATTCCAGCAAATCAGAAATGAAACTTAACGTTTTGGTATTGTTCTTTTCAATATTTTTTTTCTTTGTGCAGGTTTTTAAAAACACTAGTTAGTGCTGCGTGCCTCTAATCCCAAGCCCTTGGGAGGGAGAGGCAAGAGTCTGTGAGTTCCAGGACAGTCTGGACTACATGATGAAACCTTCAAGAGACCCAATAATTAGAACAAAAAATAGTTGGCATTTTTGGATCACCTTCAGCGACCGAGAACTTCCTTTTTTGCTTAATAAATCCTCCCTGTTCTGCTCAAATAAAGAAAAACTCCGCAGTCAGCTGTGCTTCTGTGGTTTGCATTCAGATGACTTAACCTGTCACTGCCCTTTCCATTGCTATCAGCGTCACAGCTGTTTTGGGGGGGGGGGGGGGAAGGCAGTGTTGGGGACTGAATCCAGGGCTTTCTGCTGAGTCGTACCCTAAGTCAAACGTGAGCCCAGATGCTCTGCTGCAGGCTGAAGTCTGGGAAGCTGTCCTGCTTATCCCTAGCTGAGTGGTGCTGACCCTTGTCATTTCTGCACTAAATGCACCGCAAGGTGCTACATTTCACTGTCTGGCCTGTGTCATAATGGACAGGGGACATGAATCTTAGGCGCACAGGTAGTGCTGATATCTCCTTAGTCTTTACTGAACAAGGCTCCCCTTGCAAACAATAAAGGTACTAGGTCCACAGTGTTTTGGACAAACAAGACCTTTGAGCAATTAGGGAACAAAGTGCTTGTCATTGTGCCTAACTCAGCTATGGGACAGAGTTCCTCTTGGAAGCCCGGACTGACTTAACTTGCAAGATATGTTGTTGGCCAGAAGCTCCTGCAGCATGCTCCCTGCACATCTGGGGACCACTGTTTTGCGGGGACCATCCACATGCCTCGGCTACTACACCTGTCACTTAGCTTCCCAGCATCCTCACGGCCTCACGTGCATCTGGAACAGGATATCTGTACTACTTGACTGTGCTGTGGGTCCTGTGTAACCAGGTCCCTGCTGGTGTTAGCCACGAGCTCCTCTAAGGACCCTCTTTTCCCAAGGGCTGTCTCAGGAGCATCCCTGCTTCTCTTCCCCCCCCCCCCCCCCCCCCCCCCACTGTTCAGAAGACCAACCTTTTCTGAGGTGTTGGCTCTGGTCATCCTTCTGGGAAGCCTCACTGCTATGCTGCCATCTCAGCATTTTCTCTGGTCCTTGTCACAGCTCTGAGGGTGTCCCATTCTCCCCTGGCCTGAAAACTTCCTTAAAGTAAGAACCTGCCAGAGCCTCCTCTCCACCTCTGAGAGCCTGCTTGCTAGGCTCCTGTGGGCCTGGGGGAAGTGGGGACAGCTCTCACTGGCTTTCAGGTCAGGGTTGGAGGCAGAGGACACCTTCCACAGGGATGGTCTATAGAGACAGGTGTCCCTCTCGCTTGTCTTAGGGAAGCAACAATTCAGCTAACCCATGTGGGAAGCATAGTATGCAAGCTCTGAGCAGGTCCCAGAGCTCATGCAGCTGTCCCCTGTCTAGGGCCTGCCATCTGGATGGCAGCAGAGCTGGGGCTGAAAAGGACACCATGGCTGACTGAAGGCTGGTGGTGAGGAAGAGGGTCAGGAGTGCAATGTGGGGACCCCTAGGATTCATTTTATCAGGACCAGGCACAGTATGGACAGAGAAAAGTCCAGCTATACGGACCTTGTTGCTGTGAGCCCAGTGTGTGTGTGGGCTGCTCCAAGTAGTTACGTGCAGGACCAGGCTGACCTTCAGAGAGGGCAGAGAGAAGCTGCAGCCTGAAGGGAATAGCAAGCAGGGTGGCAGGCCTTCCATGAGGGTGGAAACTGTTGGGCATCCACACCCTACTTTGCTCTACAAATCATTAACCCAGAGTTCAGAAGGTGAATGGAGGTGACCTCCCTGCTATCACCGGTCAGCTCTGTGACCCTGGGCTTTATGATTAACAAATATCCAAGAGCCGGCCAACAAGATGCCAACTGAGGTCGGCTCACCAGTTGTTAGGCAGACCTAGACTATCTCTATTGCATGCCACCAGAGGCTGATGCCATTCTGGACATTCTTGGTTGTGTAGTAGCAGGTAAGTGCAGCACTCTGGGGAGAGTCTCAGCGTGGGCCTGGAGTCCTAGAACCTACCTGGGGGTTCCAGGATGAGGGCTTGTAGGGAAGGGTGGTTTTGTTTTACCAACTCTGTAATGCAGACTTTTATAATCCTTGGGAAGGAGATCTTTCAGGAATACACACTTGGAAACAGAATGCCTGCAATGTATAGACCACAGACAGTGAACACATGGGTACATGGGGTCCATCTGCAGCACTGTGCTGTGTTTATGTACCCAGGGATGCAGAAGGCTTCTAGTAGGGTGAAGAGGGATGTAGTCCGGTGTTGCTGGACAGACATTCTCCCACTATTAGTGTCTGCTTCTTCTCTGGTGACAGCAGAAAGACATGTTCTTGAACAGGGCCTACATGGGTCCTGGGAGGTTGGGAGGGAAGGTCAGGGGACTCACATGGCTTCTCTCTTCTGCAGGACTCAGGGAAGGTGTGCATGCAGGTGTAGCTGTCTCTCCTGGATGCCAAGATTTGAGACCCAGAAAGAAGTCTCCCATGGCTCCTTATCACATCCGCCAGTACCAGGACAGTGACCATAAAAGTGTCCTGGATGTGTTCACAAAGGGCATGGAGGAGCATATCCCCACCACCTTCCGCCACATGCTGACGCTGCCCCGAACCCTCCTGCTCTTACTTGGGGTGCCGCTTGCCATGGTCCTGGTGTCTGGCTCCTGGCTGCTGGCTATTATGTGCATCTTCTTTCTGTTCCTACTCCTGCAGCTCCTTGCCAGACAGCCTTGGAAGGAATATGTGGCCAAGTGTTTGCACACAGACATGGCTGACATCACCAAGTCCTACCTGAATGCACGTGGCTCCTGCTTCTGGGTGGCTGAGTCTAGTGGTCAGGTGGTAGGCATAGTGGGTTGTCTGCCAGTCAAGAATCCCCCGTTTGGAAGGAAGCAGCTGGAGCTCCTTCACCTGTCTGTGTCCTCACAGCACCGAGGACAGGGGATAGCGAAAGCACTGGTCAGAACTCTCCTCCAGTTTGCACGGGACCAGGGCTACAGTGACGTTGTCCTTGACACCAGTACCATACAGAAAGGTGGTAAGACCCTCTACCTGAGCATGGGCTTCCAGAGGACAGGCCAGTATTTCATGAGTATGTTCTGGAGGTTAGTGGATGTTCCTACAATTCAATTAAAGTATTCCCTCCCTTCTGCCTAGGAAGTGGAGCTGGGACTTATGCTCCTGTGCAGCAAGCAGTCCTGCTCCTCTCTAGAGGAACTAGTGAACCTTGTCATGTCAGTGTGATGAACAATAAAAGCTCCTTGCTGGTGCACACCAGATTCTAATGCATGTGATGGCTGAGGTGGGGGTTTGGGGGTTCTGCTACACTCTAGGTTTCTGGGCTGCCTGTGATTTATTTACTGAGCCCCATATTACTGTTGCACTAGGAACAATGCAAAATACTACTGCATGTATTTCACTTTTGAGTTTGTGGACCACAAGTTTCTGCTGGAGGGAGCAGCTCACCTAGCCTCAGGACACATGTGGGAGCACCTAAGTTGCCCGAAGTGCCAAATATCTATGTACTGTCCTGTTCCAGCAGGCCAGCTGGGCAAGGCTCAAGAGATTGGCAGAGCAGCCAAAGCTAAGGCAAAGCAAAAACAAACAGGCTTTTCCAAGCACTGCAGGTGTTACCTGCAGAACATGCCAGACGGGGGGACAAATGTATTTTTGTGCTTACAAGCTCTGTAGGGTCACAGACCAGAAGCTGGGTGTGGAACTAAGAGAATGATCAACAGTTACTTTTTGTCATAGCAGGGCAGGAAGTCGACTAGGATGGAGTGAGGACTGATTCTATGGGGAAGAAGTGGATATAACTGACACTTCATGGTGGCCAGGCTTGTTGTGGCTATTGTTGTGGGCCGTCTCACATGCCAGCACCACTCTAAGGAGGCCAAGTATATAGCTCTGCCTTTCTAAGAGGATATGGGGATGGGAGCACCCTACAGCTGGTACTCCTGGAATCTAGGCTGAACCCAGCCTGACTTCAAAGGCTCGGGGACTCCAGAAGTTCAGGTGCTTTGTGCCTGATTGTGCATCTTGTAAACCTCTGATACAAGGCTGTGATGGGATGTGGCTCTGTGCTTGGCTGTCCCCCTTTTCCAGCTAGTTCATCTGTAACAGTGGGTATTATTAGAGATGTGGGCTATCTTGCTGTCTCCCAACCTAGGCTACAGATTGCTGATCAGAGAGCTCCAGGCACCCCTGAGCCAGTAATTTGTGACATTTGGACAATATTGGGGGTCCTGTTTCATTGTGACATGACCTCTGATACAGCCTAACTCCAGAGGGGCCAACCAAGCCAAGCCTTGCCCTGGCATGCTGACAAACCTTGTTATGGACCAATTTCAACTACACAAAGACGCCTTGCTATGCCATTCCAAACACGGGTGACTTGATTACTGGGATTATATGCCTCACTCCTTGCTACGTGGTTCTCATTGACCCCAGCCTTGATGGTCACTACAGTATAGTTTCTGTCCATCCTCACCTAGAACGGCCTCCGTGGGCTTCTGGGAGACCTTCTCCATAACCCAAAGTCCACCAGTATCCACTTGAGGGGTCTGCACTCCCTTGAGCTGAAGTTCCAGCTGTACACTCAATGTGGTCCCTTGTGACAGCCCATATGAGGCAGGGATGCTGAGACCATGCAGCATCTCTCCATAATACTTGGACGAGGAATGAAGACTTTTTTCCTTTGTGACAATCTTGGGCAAGTGTCACTTGCTCTGCATCATCCTCTGTCCCCCAGAGTACTCAGCTGTGACTCAGAAGGGGATTCTGGGTACGGAGAACCTAGAGAACAACTCCAGAACTGCATATATGAGAGGGCACCATGGCTTTACAGACTAGGAGCTCTAGAGGGGACCAAAGGGGTGGGACTGGCTGTGCATGTGGGAAGGACACGGACTCACCATTTCCGAAGTTCTTTGAATGAAATGAGGTGAACAGTATCTGTCACTTCCACGTGTGTGCTTTTAAGCTACTATGCTGTTCCTGGCACTCCTGCCCAGCTGTGTAATAACCTAAAAGGCCAGGCTGAGAGGTCTCCAGCAGACAGGCTCCGCCAGCACTGCTGTGGGTTTTTCCTCTGACCCCCACTGCCATGAAGATAACAGCTGCTTCTGCTGTACTGAGCTAGTGAGCTTTAGGGACTGGCTGTCACTGCGGCCTAACTAACCCCAAGTCCACAGACCACAGCCTCCACTCCAGCACCACACACAACTTGTTCGAGTCGAGGTTTACCGGACAGAGGCCGCTCACTATGTATGTGTCTTCTGTGGCAGCTTTCAGACTGCAAAGGTGGTGTTGAGTAACTGTAGCAGAAGCCAGACAGCCTTCGAGGAGCACAGCACCTCTCTGGCTCTTCACAGAGCTTTGCTGACCCTTGACCAGGCCTATCTTGACTGATACAATCAAAATACAAAATAAAGTGAGAAAAAAAATGAAACCATCGAATATGGTTTTATACTAGTTACAGGACCCTGAGAGAGTTAGTTAATACTGATCCACTTTTAGTTGCCTTGTGTGTAAAGTGGGCACAAAGACATACCCACCTAACAAGGCTGCTATGAGAAGTAACTGAATTATTATTTATTTATTGAGATAGGATTTGACATGGTACTTTAGGCTGATCTGGAACTTGTTGCATATCTCTGGCTGACCTCAAACTTGTGGCTTTCTCTTGCCTCAGCTGCCCGAGTACCTGGGCTGTAGGAGTGAGTCGCCATACCAGGTTTAGAGTTAGAGAATTCTTATACTTAAAATACTAAGGATCCAGATGCTTAGAAGGGCAATGTGGAAAAGCCAGCAGTACCAGGTGAGATGCAAACGGATGGATGAATTACTGAGGAAGAGCCTTGAACACTATAGCCTTCACTGGGTGCTTGAACTTTTTATTCCAACTGTATAGAAAAATAAAACGTACTGAAACAAAGAGAAGACAAGGAGACAGTGGCAAACCCAGAGACGGGTGTCTTTAAGAAGTGAAAAGAAAGCAGAGCTGGTGGTAGTTTCTTTTCCCTTTTCCAGCGATGAGAATGTTAATTTTATAACCAGGAAAGAACAGCTAGTGATTAACTTGGAGATTTTCTGTTGATACTTTAGGCAACTTATAAAACATCCTTGGTTGACATTCTACAAATGATACCATCCAATAACGTCCCAATACTCTCTTCTTGTGATGACAGTTTATATATCTGTAAAAGTGAATGACAATCTGTGAGTGCTGACATGTCCCTGCACTGTGATTATAGACACATTTACATATGGCATTATCATGTTATTATGGCATTAATGATTTGAAATCACAAATATGTTTAAAGTGTTCAAAGGAGGTGGTAATTTGTCACTCATGTCAAATATCCTTTTTAAGTGTGGTTATTGATATGAAAAAACAAATTTCCTGAACATACAAATCACATTTGTATCAATTTTAAGAGTTCACATCTAGATATTAACTTCATACAGTCACTGAATATTGGAAGAGATCCCCTTTCTTACAATTCTCAATGACTCCATTCTGAATTACATTCCACACAAACTTGTACATCCCAGTTCTTTAATTTACACATATTTTCCAAGTGTCTGTAAAATTATTTTAGTATTTCTAAACCTCTCTTTATTTTACTTGTATTTTACTTGTTTGCCTCTGTGTATGTGTACTACATGTGAGCAGTTCCCATGAAGGCCAGAAAAGGGCACTGGACCCCCGGGAACTGGAGTTCCAGATAGTTAGGAGCATGCTGGGAATCAGACCCAGGTCCTCTGGAAGAACAGCAAGTGCTCTTAACTGCTGAGTCGTCTCTCTAGTCCCCCCCCCCACACTATTTCTTAAAAGTTTAAAAGGTATTGGGAATGAGAGAGGAGGCAGATATGAGTAAAAGCAGTAATATGAAATGTAATGAATGCCATTATCTCGTATGCTAACTAGAAAGTTAAAAGACTACTTCATCATTCCTAACAGTACGAGCACACAGCATCAGGGTAATTCATCTACTGAACTCTTACAAATGCGTACTACACACCTTTTTGACTTCTGCGAGCTTTGTTATTTCTGGAAGGCTTTCCAAAGGCACCTGCTGGCCTTCCACTTGAGATACCAGGTGTTCTTGGTGTATCTGTTTTCCTCCCTCTTCAATGTAAACGATCAGAACAGAAGTGTCACTTTCTGAGGTACCGAATTTCTTCAAAGCCTCTGAAATCTAAGATAAAAAAACCGAAGGGAAATGAGCCAGCGTCTTCGGTCTGGACTAGCTGCAGGCCTGCTCAGTCAGCCTCCCTGTTTCCCACAGCGTACTCTCCCTTCACCGATCCCTTTCCAGCACCCATTGCTGCCTCTCCTTACAGCGGCACTTCGCTCCTCCGGATCAAGCCTGACTGCTCGGCTCTGCACATAAACACCCGCCTCTATCTCCACCTGACCTTCCTGACCATAGTTTGTATTCCTGTTGTCATTTATCTTCGGACGTCTTAACCTTTGCCTCATTCATCTGCTTCTCAAGAACACATTTGTCTCTTCTGCCCCTACAGCTGCGTCTTGAGCAGGAATGACGTCTTCAAATATTTCCAATGATTCTATTAATGGAGAGTTCTGCTGCCATGCTGACCGCATTTTATAATCTTTGCAACCAAGTGTGGTTTAATTCTTGCCATAGGCTTCCCAATTTTCCCTGTGATAATACTAGTACCTGGTTGTTATTAACAGCAGTAGTAATACTGAAACTTCATCAGCAGAGTTCAGACATCTTTTTCACATGTCACACACAGAATGCCATCACCTCAATACTTTCATTTAAAAAGCACTCTTGGCCTGGGGAGATGGCTTAGTGGGTAAAGCACTTGCCACACAAGTGTGAGGGTCTTGGTTCAAATCCCTAGCACCCATGTAAAGCCAGACCCAACAGCAATTGTCTGTAACCCCAGTGCTCCACAGGAGGGTAGGAGGTGGGGACAGAAGAATCCAAGGAGCTTGAAGGCCAGATGTACACAGTGGCAAAAAATACCAGAGACCTTGTCTGGATCAACACTTGAGGTCATCCTCTAGACCTTCACAAGCACACTGTGGCACTCAGGCACCCATACTCCCACACATGAATATGCATAACACACACCCAAATATACACACACGCACACACACACCGCACACACGCACGCACGCACGCACGCACGCGCGCACACAGGGTTTGGGGGAGCATTCCTATGAGGATTTCAAACCATGACTCTTTCTATAACCCGGGTGAGTGAGTGAGCAGGTGTCAACCACTCTACCAGGTCACAGGAAGTTCCTGGTACTGACTATAAACAAGACACACATCCCATCTCTAGGAGTTTACAGGGAGAGTGACACAAGCTATTTCTACACCTCACATTTGATCATGTGGGTTTCTACCAGTTTCATAAGCAAAAATGCTCAAGGGGTCCGTTTAACACCTGGGCAGGGCAGGTTATACCAGCCTCATGTAGTTTAAAATCTGACTAACCAGGAAACTGACCCCACAGCTGTACTATGATTAGCAGTACTAAATGTCTGTCTAGACCTCTCTATGGAATGGTTTTGGCTTGGAGGAATCTGGCTCCCAGTACTACACCAGGTGAGGGAGGCGCATGCTACGATGACAAGGCCAAGGGAAATAAAGTCAGGCACCACGTTACGTTATTATTTGGGGAGAGGTTGAAGATAATTTCAGTAGACAGAGTTCTTGTCTTCATTTTCCCCAGTTTGTGCAGATGAACGGCTTTGTTCGCGGCCACAAGTATCTGAAATGGGTCGACAATCTAGCAGAGAGAAAACAAAGATTAACCCAGAGAGAATCAGGAGCTTCCTGTACCATGTGCCCGACTTGAGGTAACTCGAGTCCAGCTGTTTATATGATCACCATTCTTATGGGCTGTATTTAAAAACTATCGCCTCAAGGCGGGCGGTGGTGGCGCCTGCTTTTAATAAAAGCACTCGGGAAGCAGAGCCAGGCAGATCTCTGTGAATTCGAGGCCAGCCTGGTCTACAGAGTGAGATCCAGGACAGGCACCAAAACTACACAGAGAAACCCTGTCTCGAAAAACCAAAAAGAAAAACAAACAAACAAACAAAAACCTATGGCCTCAAAGACTGTTGCAACACAAAAAAATTATAGAATTTTAAAGCTGCAAGATTCTTGAAGCCTAATACAGAACAGGCCACATCCTAAACTTCAACAGCATTGTTCTCTTTAATCCACACATACTCAATGAAATCAGTGTTGCTCATGTAACAGATGAGGTAACCATGCCTGGGGGGTGAGTGTGTGGGTGTGGGGTAGTGTTCAATCCCAGCCCTGTTGCTTACCACATAAGGAATCAGGCAAGTTGCTACCTGTCTTACCTATCAGAGGGAAGCAATGCACAGTTCTGCTCTGGCGGGACTACAGGTTCTGTCAGGATATGCACAATGCACACGACAATAGGACACATCTTTACGTGCTAGACAAAGATGGCTGTGACTTCCTCAGTCACAGGAAGTGGGAACCTCGTGCCTTAATGTGTACTATTAACCACTCTGCCATCTGTGGTGGTTTGAATGAGAATGGTTCCACAGGCTCATACACTTGAATGTTTGGTTCTCAACTGGTAGATTGTTTAGGAAGGATTGGGAGGTGTACTGGCTAGTTTTATGTCAACTTGACAGAAGCTAGAGTCACTGGAGAGGAGGAAGCCTCAACTGAGAAAATGTCTCAATAAGGTCAGGCTACAGCGGACATTTTCTTAATTAGTGATTGATGGGGGAGGGCCCAGCCCACTGTGGGTGGTGCCACCACTGGGCAGGTGGTCCTGGGTTCTATAAGAAAGCAGGCTGAGCAAGCCATGGGAAGCAAGTGATTAAGCAGGACCCCTCCAAGGCCTCTGTGTCAGCTCCTGCCTCCAGGATCCTGCCCTGTTTGAGTTCCTGTCCTGACTTCCTTCAGTGATGAACAGTGATGTGGAAGTGTAAGCCAAATAAACCCTTTCCTCCCCAAGTTGCCTAGGTCACGGTGTTTCACTGCAGCAATTGTAACCCTAAGAAAGAAGTTGGTACCAGGATAGTGGAGTATTGATCTGACAGACCTGACCATGTTGTTTTGGGGAGGACTGTGGAAAGACTTTGTGACTTTGGGCTAGAAAGGCCACCGAGTGTTGAGAGCTCAGTGTGCTGTTCCGGAGGAGGAGCTTGGAAGATAAGAATGTTGAGAGCAACACAGACAATGGAGGCCTGGCCTGTGGAGTTGCAGAGGGAAGCAAAGGCTCTACAGGGCCTTTTGTGTGAAAAATCTGTGGTATCTGGTAAGCTGGGACAGAAGAGTCAGCCGCGATTAACCAGAGACCAGCACTACTGAAAAGAAACCTTTGAGTTCCTGGGACAATTGATGCTGGTCAGCTGGAACTGAGAAATTAGCTGTGATTAAGAAGAGACCAACATTAGTGAGGTGAAACCTTCTGGGAAGTGTTTCCTGAGAGCACAGAGACTATTCCAGATAGTCAAGGTTGTACCTCATGCTGGCAGCTGAACTTGGTAGTAGTGTTAAGTCACCCAGGTGGTACTGGTTTTGAAGGCACGAAGGGGCCACGGAGAACAGCTGAGGCTTGGCACTGTGAGAGGCCAGGAGAGGCCATTGGCGAAGGGGTGGCCCAGGTGCAGAAGACCCCAGTATTTTGGAGATGCCGGTACCATGGCATGACCACTAAGAACATCAGCAGTGGCAGAGTGGAGCCTGTCTGAACAGGAAGACAGCTGTGTGTGCTGCAGAGGGCAGAGCTGGAGAAGTGACCCAAGCCCTTGGAGGAGCCCAGTGATCATGAGTGGATCCCAGACATTGGACATTGTGTTGTTTACAGAGCTGGAGTTTGGTTTGGCTTGGATTTGTGACTGTGCCGTGGTTCTTCTCTCTTGAAGTAAGAAATTACTTATTTTTTTTTATTTTACAAGAGCCCACAGCACTTCAGACTCTATTTGCTGTTTTAAATTTAAAACACCAAGTATGACTTGAGCAAATACTTTTTGCCTGAATATAAGAGAATTTTAGGGTAAAACTAGCATGTTCTTAAATGCCTTTATATAGGCTTCCAAGCAGAAAGGGTGGTCTAATTAGAGGTGAATATTCCCAACTCAAAAGATCTGGATTATAAGTGTTATGACTTCAAATGATCCAATTAAGCAAAAATTCCCTCAATGGTATGGTCAGCCATTTGGGGATTCTAGTTCATTCCAGATGTAGTCAGTGGACAACCAAAAAGAGCCATCACAGGAGGTGTGCCTTGCTGGAGAGGTGTGCCACTGGGATGAGCTTTGAGGTTTCACTGGTGTCACTGGGATTGAGGTGTTACTGGGATGGGCTTTTGAAACCTCGAAGCCCACACTAGGTCCAGGTGCGTTCTCTCTATCTATCTTGTGAACAACATGTGAGCTCTTAGCTTCTGCCCCAGCGCCATGCCTGCCTGCCTTCCTCCTGACACACTCCCTGCCAGGATGGTCACAGATGAGCCCTCTGAGACCGTGAGCCAGCCCCCAGTTAGGTGCTCTCTTTTATAAGCTGCCTTGGTTATGGCATCTCTCCACAGCAACAAAAGGCAGTATAATTCTTCTGCAGGCTTACACACATGAGAAGCACCTGCCAAAACACGCGGGGCACAGCTGGGCCACAGCCCTTCCTATTTCCTCAGACAGGACACAGCACTTCAGACTCTATTTGCTGTTTTAAATTTAAAACACCAAGTGTGACTTGAGCAAATACTTTTTACCTGAATATAAGGGAATTTTAGGGTAAAATTAGCATGTTCTTAAATGCCTGGCATGGTTAATTCATTCTCATATTTTGTACTTACCACACTAGGGTTTATCAATGACCCACTGATAGATCCTTCCATGGCCTTTTTTCTCAGGTCTCCTGCATTTTTTACATCTTTAAATAACAGAAGGGTCACTCTGCATTCAGGAAACAGGTCCAACTGCTGTGATAACTGCATGTCATAGACAAGAAGGACTCTACTGGACAAAAACAAAAGACCAACAGGTTCTGATATGTAAAAGATTGTATCATCTTCCCCATCCGGCTTCTCCTCTGTCTCCCTCATCTGACAGTCTTGCTGTCCTAGCCTTGCTCTGTACCTCCAGCCTCCTGCTCCTCCTCCCCAGGCCCTAGAATTGCCTGTGAAAATACACTCAGCTGTAACCAATTTAACAAAAGCCTTGCGTTCCACTCCCGTTTCTGTTCTAGCTTCATTTCTGTTGCTGTGATGAAACATTCTGATCAGCAGCAACGTAGGGGAGGAGAGGAATTGTTTGGCTTACAATTCCAGGAACTCAAAGTCAGAAACCACAGAGGAATACTGCTTGCTGACTCAGTCACTGGCTTCTGGTTAAATAGCTTTTTTTAATACAGTCCAGGACCATCTGCCCAGGGGTTGCCCTCAGTGGGTTAGGCCCTTCTACACCACAACAATTAAGAGTCAAGAGTCGCCGGGCGGTGGTGGCGCACGCCTTTAATCCCAGCACTCGGGAGGCAGAGCCAGGCGGATCTCTGTGAGTTTGAGGCCAGCCTGGGCTACCAAGTGAATTCCAGGAAAGGTGCAAAGCTACACAGAGAAACCCTGTCTCGAAAAACCAAAAAAAAAAAAAAAAAAAAAAAAAAAAAAGAGTCAAGAGTCTTTCCATCACAGAAAGGTTAATAGACCAATATGATCTGCACGATTCCTCAATTGAGACTCCTTTCTCAGGTGACCCTGAAGGCTATTGTCAAGCTGATGGTTAGAGCTAACAAATTAATTTCATAAACTACAGAACTCCTAAAGTAGAAAAGTCCATTTCCAAAGCATCTTTGCCATTTTCGTAAGGTGTGTTCCTAACTGTGCTGAGCTGTTTCTGGTTCTCCTGCTCCTGGGAAAAAGCCAAAGGAAATGGATGGTGCCCTGTTTGGCAAGATGGGCAGCTTCTGTGCATGGTCAAGAGACTACTGCCCCAGCAGACACCCAAGTGCAGGATACCAGAAAACGATGGATTTCCGATTACCTACAGCATTACTAAGACCTTTACTTACCGTATCCTTCCTAAATTCCTAAACTCCTAATCGATTTTATTTATACTTTAACAAAATCTGGCCACGATATTAAGAAAATAATTTATAATACTCAAGTAACATACTTTACGCTAGGATTTATTTTCCAACATGGAATTAACATAAAGCATAAGACTGTTAAATACTTCTCACCAGGTGTGGTGGCTCATGCCCAGTATCTCAGATGAACAGGAGATGTAAAAGAAGTATAGGGTGTGCTCAGTGTGAGGGCCCACCTCCTGTGAATGATGTCCTGGGTATGACAGACATGCTATAGTTACAAAAAATAGATTCTAAAAACAATTTCAACCATCATCTTTTTAATGGAGATTGAAGTTAGGGCCCTGCAAAGGCTAAGCACACACTCTACTCCTGGGCTCCTGCTCCAGCACTAGAGTCTTAACGGAGTCTTTGGTGGGCCAATCTGCTAGGCTCTAGTCATCCTTTGTATCTGTAGGATCCATTTCTAGTTTTCTTTCTCAAGGAACTAACTGGAAGTCTGAGGACGATAAACTAAGATGTCCTTTTATCACCTTGAAAGGCTGAGAACAACTTATGCGGCCAGTGGCAAGGTTTGGAGTGACTAAACAGCCATTAAAAGCTGCCACGTTGGCAGGGAAAATGGCTTAGTGATCAAGCACTTGCCAAACACGCACAAGGCCATGTTCACTTTTCAACACAACAGCCCCAGCCTTCAAACAACACGAAATCAATGCTGCAGTGTTGATCCTCCAAAGCAGTAATAACATGAAGCAAAACCACAGGAAAAAACAAACAAAATGTGGCTAAATGTATCATTTTAATCTCTGTTATTCTCGTTTTCTGAGCCAGGCTGGCCTGGAACTCCCAATCCTACTGCTTCCCTGACACCAGCCGTGGGGTCACAAGCTTGTTCCACCATGCCCAGCCTAACTGTGGAGTTTTTTGTAAAAGCTCCTCATGGGGCTGGAGAGATGGCCGAGCAGTTATGGGCACTTGCTGTTCATGCAGAGTGCCTGAGTTTGTTTTCAACAACGATATCAGGTGGCTTACAACCACCTTTAACTCCAGTTCCCAGGGCACCTACCAATGTACACATACATATGTAGACACACATACATACAGAAACTGAAAATAAAAATCTTAAACTAATTCAAAGCTGCTTATAAAGAAAAGATACAGGAAAGAAGGGCTGAGGAAGGGTTTAGTTGGTAGAGAGCTAGACTAGCATGCACAGAAGCTTGGGTGAATCCCAAGCACTGTATGAAACCAGGGTGATGGTGTTCATCTCCGACCCAGTCCCGAGGGGGTCAGAAGAGGAGGATCAGAAGTTCGAGGCTGGAGGAGGTGGGGTGCATGGGTCTTTACAGTCCAGAAAAATACCTGAAAAAAAAAATGTGGTTTTACCCTTCTCTTGAATCTCTGTAGGTAAACAAAGTAATCCAAGCCCAAACTGCTGTCTCCACCACCTAGCCACTTCGACAGAGGCTTCTGCTCCCATCATTCAGAAAGGAAATATTTATCTTAAACCATATCCAGACTGCTTCCAAACAAATGAGACTGAGTTTATGTAAAGAAATGCATGTAATTCTGACCTTGGTCCCTGGAGCACTAGTCAAGAGGCCGTGGGTGACAAGACCTCCAATGTGAACTCTGCGGTGACACCTGTGTAAGATGATGAGGATGGAATTTGTAGAGCGGGAACTAAATGAGGGACCCCTGAAGTTATTTTGTGTCAGGGTCAGGACAGAAACTCTGGGCTCAGGTGGAAATCAAACGATGATGGTCTGTCTGTCCAGCTAGTCAGGCTAACTCTTCACTGGTTGGTGTGAGGTTTGGAAAAGGAGTGGCCAGATAAATGGTGACAACTCCTTGGGCTGGAGCTTTGATCAGGTACACAAGGTGCTCAAAAAAGGCTTTGGAGAGAAGATTAATAAGATGACTATTTGAGACATACCCTTCAAACAGATAATCATTGTGCCTAAGAACAGTAGTGAACATGTTTGTTTTATCTTTAAAACTAAAAAATCATTCACAGTGAAAAACAGTCCTGTTGACAGACACAGTCTTCCTCATTCAACATAACCTCTGTGGAATCAATGAACAGACACCACTGGACTGAAGGGCTGGCAGACAACTGCCAGGGTGGGAACTACAGTTGCCATTACACTTGTGCCTACTTTTATCTTTGTGCAAACTATGAAGACCTACCCCTGAGGCTCAGGTGTCATGCACATGTACACACAGCTGAACTCAGTGCACATGAAGTTCCTCCAGAGCCACGGAGCATGGCTGAAGGAGGGCCTTTTCATCCTCCTCAGATTCCAAGATGTAGTCTTATCCTTTTACAGATGTAAAACTATCAAAAGATATACTGACTTTTCTAGAATAGTTTCCCATCCTGATAAGGAGGACTGGCAAGGTTGACTGAGTATGGAGTAGTCATCCCCCTGCCCCAGGTAAACCATAGTGTTCTTTGTAGTACTTTCACATTCATTTTTAATACAGTACCATGGTCTACTTAGGGTAGAATGCCTTTGATAGTTGGGGTTTTGTTTGTTTTAATTTTTTTTGGTTGGTATGTGTAAAATGCCAATTAACCAATACCAGTTCATCTTGTATAAGCATTATTTCAAGAATTACCATGATTATCATTAAACTCCAACTATTTTCACTTATGTGTATCAACTGTTGTCTTAACTATGGTGGAGCATCGGCCAGGCATGTTAGCACACGCCTTTAATTCCAGCACTCAGGCGGCGGAGGTAGGTGGATCTCTGTGGGTTTAAGGCCAGCCTGGTCTACAGAGTGAGTTGCAGGACAGCCTAAGAGACACAGTGAGACCCTGTCTCAAAAAAAAAAAAAAAAAAAAAAAAAAACCAAAACTATAGTGAACAACTAGAATAAAAACCAAAATACAATTACTGCTGCCATTTAAAAACCTGAAATGTGGGCTGGAGAGAGGGCTCAGTCAGCAAAGGCTAGGCCCACAAAACAACAAAACCTGGAATGTCAGTTCTGTATTACACTGAAAGGCACACTTGCCTAGCAGCTTAATGGTACTGAGGACAGTATCACTGGTTAACTGTACTTGAGATTTTCTAGTGCTTGCATAATGGAAACCACCTCTAAAAGTTGCCCCATCACTTTCTGAAAAGTGCTTGCATAATGGAAACCACCTCTAAAAGTTGCCCCATCACTTTCTGAAAAGTGCTTGCAATGACTGCTAGAGAGTTAATGCAAAACTTCTTATACTAAACAGAATTTGGGACCCTTTATTACATGTGCAGATTAAGTGGGTAATACTTAACTCTGGCACCTGAATGCTAACATTATGTTCCCAGGCGGCAGTCCTGGAATGCTTTCCTCAACATACTAGTTTGTTCCAGTTTCTGACTCTTTCCTCCCTGCCAACAAAATGGCATGGACTCCTTCTCCTGAGTTTCTTCTTTGTTTATGCCCATCCTGTTTTATCCTATTAAATGTGTATAAAGTTATATTTTCATCTGAAAAAAAATATCAAAGTCATCTGTCGGCAGCAGTAAGTTTGCTGCCTTAATCTTAAATGCCCCTTTTTGTCCTGTCCCAGTTAAGTTGTTTGTGTGAAAAATGTGCAGTTGGGTTCTGGAGGGTGCTGGGGATCAGTTCCCCTGTGGTTTTTCCTGTTTGGAAAACAGTGTCCAGCTTGCCTCCAGATACAGAGTAACCATTCCTTGACCCCTGCTGTTGGAGGGGTATATAAGCCCATGTTGGTACGAATAAAGAGAGCCGCTTCCCTGACGAACTGAAACTGGGTATCTAGAGTGCTCCTCCCAGATTTCGTGCTCCAGCTGCGCGGGCCCCAGCAGTCATCCTCAACTACCAAGCTCCAGGCTAGCCTGAGTTACATAAGATCCTGCCTCAGAAAACACAGGGCTAGAGAGATGGTTCAGCCATTAAGAACACTTGCTACTCTTGCAGAGGGTTTGACTCCCAAAACTCTAATAGTGGTTCATAACCATCTGTAATTCCAGTTCCAGGGTATTCAATGCCCTCTTCTGACCTCCATTGATACCAGACACACATGCGGTATACACACACACACACACACACACACACACACACGCAAGCAAAACATCCATACACATAAAATATTAAAATAAAACCTCACAAAACTTAAACATAATATAAGTTATCTCTGTTTCTCTAGAATTATGTCTGAGGGTCTTGGTTACAGAACAAGAGTTTTGTAAATAATGTCCTGACACAGTCTCTTTTCATGTTAGCATCTAATTGAGACAGGATATAATATGGTATGATCAGCATGCTCTGTCATGTAAAAACATGAACAGAAAAAAATGCAGGAGACAACAAAATCTTGAGTACTGAGATTAAGTGATTTTTATTGTACTCTTAAAATATTTTGTTGTACGTGTTCTGAACTTTCCACAGTCATCCAACAAAATGTAAGTACTTATATTCGGAAAATGATGTTCCCTGTTTTTTTTTTTTTTTTTTTGGTTTTTCGAGACAGGGTTTCTCTGTGTAGCTTTGCGCCTTTCCTGGGACTCACTTGGTAGCCCAGGCTGGCCTCGAACTCAGAGATCCGCCTGGCTCTGCCTCCCGAGTGCTGGGATTAAAGGCGTGCGCCACCACCGCCCGGCGATGTTCCCTGTTTTTTTAAGTGTCTGTTTCAAAAAAATATTTTTACTTGAGTGTTTGCCTGAGTGTTATGTCTGTGTACTACATTCTTGCCTGGTACCTGTAGCAGCTGGAAGAAGGTACTGAATTCAATGCAACTGGAGTTACAGACTTTTGTGAAACGCAATGTGGGCACTGGAAACCAAACCCCTGCTCTGATTTTTAACAGTAAGGGAAAAGAACTCTTAGAAAGCCTCAGAATAATCTGTTCTTGTTTGGTATAAGATTCACTTAGGAGAAAAACTTTGGGATCATCACTTAATATCGACCTGGTTTGACGCCTGTAAAATTCATGCTGAAATTTAGTTCTCAATGTGAGAGATTAAAGTGGGGTCAGGTGGGGACTTCAGAAGGTGTTTAGGAGTTTGTACTAAAAACAAAAAAATCATTAATCCACTCGTGATTATAAAGTTAATAAGTTAATAGTTTATCTCCGGAGCAATTAGGACTTTGCACTCTAAAATTCTTTTTTTTTTTTTTTTTTTTTTGGTGTTTTCGAGCCAGGGTTTCTCTGTGTAGCTTTGTGCCTTTCTTGGATCTCGCTCTGTAGACCAGGCTAGCCTCAAACTCAAGAGATCCGCCTGCCTCTGCCTCCCGAGTGCTGGGATTAAAGGCGTGCACCACCACCACCCGGCTCAAAAATTCTTTAATCCAGGAATATGATTATCAAAATAATGGTTTATATCTCCCGAGCGATTGTCATGAATGCAAGTTTTCCTAGTCTTCTAACCTGCTCCCTAACAGGGAGGCGGGCAGATCTCTGAGTTTCAGGCCAGCCCAGTCTACAGAGTGAGTTCCAGGATAGCTGGGGGTTACGTACACACACAAACTCTGTCTCGAAAAACAAAATGAACAGCAAAACACCTCACCCCATGAGGTGTTGTGGTATTAGCAACAGAAGGTGGTCTAAGGCAGATGCCTCTCACTGTTACAACACGGTCAGTGCCCATGTCCTGGCTCTACCTCCAATTCTAATTCTGACTCACCCCTCATCAATAGCACCCCAAGATCATCCTCATCGAGGCCCTGCCCACCAGTAATGCAATTCCAACCTATCCCGATGGTCACAGGGTCCTTCAGGAGGAAGTCAGAGCTGAGGCTAAGAACCTAACTTTATGTCCCGGGGTCCCGCATGTAGCGTCTGGTCCCTGCCTGACTCCTCTCCCGCCACGATGGCTTGCCCTCGGCTTCCAGTGGCCGGGCCTCCCAACGGGGCGACCCTGTCCTCGGGACTTCCTGCCCGGGCAGGGCCGGGGCGACTCTCTGACGCGCCTCCCTCCCAGCGCCGGGCCTCGCCGTGGCTGTGCGGTCCGCACGCGGTTCCTCCGTCATCAGCCCCCGGCACCGCCGGCAGGGGGCGCCCCGGCGCGCGCAACCGAGCGGCCTTCCGGCCCGAGCTGCGCTCCGGAGGCTTCATCGCTCTCCACCCGCGTCCCGGGAGGGCTCGCGACAAACGCTGGCGACGGGAGACGCACGCCATCGCCCACAAAACTGTGACCGCGCGGAAAGAGCTGTTGTTCGCGCCGGCGGAACTCACCATCAGTCTCGTGTCCGTCTCAGAAAACCGTCCCCTCGGAAACAACGCTCTCCACTTCCGGAAGTTCCGGATCGTTGATCAGGTAGACAGGTTCCGAGGTACCCTGTTTCCGGATCCTGGTGGGCATAGTCCAGTCTAGTCTGTCTGAACTTCTTCTGACTCTTCTACTACTTGCAGCGGCTTGAGGACGCCCAAGAGAACTGGTTCTTTTCCGTTCCTGTGTCGGAAGTGCAAAAGACTAGAAGTTGAGGTATGGTGTTGAGTGTCGGCTTTGTTCTTATCCTGTGTTTAACGTCCTCAGATTCTTCCTGTGAAAAGAAAAATATCCACCAGGACGAGAGTCACAGCTTTTCGGAGCTTTTGAGACTCAGTTTCTTGAGTGTGCTCTTGGGTGGAAGTGGGGATGCAGTGTGGTGAAATCTTACATTGAAGGAGATCCTCTCGTGCTTGGAGGTCTAGTGACAAAGTGGACTCTCTCAGCTGTGACAGGAAAGAAGCAAATCTTTTGGGCAAACCGGAGGGTAGTGAGGCTTCTCTGAAATGATGCTGGGGTGAAGTTCCCTGAAGCCATCTACCTCAGGCAGTTCTGCAACACCACTACTCTTGGGGAAGGATGACCACCAAGGTAGTGAAACCGGATGTTGGTTCGAGCTACCTGCCAGAGAACCCAATAAATAGAGAAGAGGATTGAATCTTAAAATTACAATTTATCTACAGAGTCAGCAGCCTGAGAAGAGAGCAGATTAATTATTCTAGAGACATGGATTCCATCTCATTTCTAGCCAGCAGATTATAGAGAGAAGGAGATAGGCTGGAGGCAAAGACAGCCAATCATCCTGGAGCTCCGTTTTGCCTCCCTGGTCAGGTAGTTAACCACATTTCTGAGAGGTGATGTCTGTGTTTGTTTTGTTATCTTTTGTACTCTTTTCTCATCTGGGATGTTTGGACTCAGGCACTTCTTGAAATTCGGGGTGTAGTTAGTTTCTACTAATATTAACCTTATCCTCCTTCAGAGGTATCTGGGCTGGGCTGGGAAGTTAACTCCAAACAAAAGAGAGTGTGTCCGTGCTAAGTTAATAGTATGTACATTTTGGTTCCTTTCTACAGTACGGAGTACAAGTGTGTCTTCATAATACAGAATGTGAAAGTGTCCCCATCTCTCCCCAGTCATTCTTCACTGCTAGTGGTAACTCTGAGATCTGTATCATATGAAAGATGACATCTTGACACCATGCACCTGGTTGATTGTCAGAATAGCTTCTTACTTGTAAGAGAATTCTCTAGCATGTAAAGATGTACGTCAGAGCACACCATATGTAGCAGGAGCAGCTATGACTTGGAGTGACAACTTCTGAAATATGCCTTTCTCTGAAACTAAAAGTATGAACCAGAGTTGGAAAACAGTGTCAGGTAACCATGCGTAAGAACAATTCCTCTTTAACTTCTTGTCTTTCCTTTTGGAAAGTCTGTCACAAGTGACTCCATTCACACTTGGGTTTGTGTTTGGGTCCCGTGAGGCCCAGACTGACCCCCATTTGTCAGTCTCCGAATCCCAGCTTCCCAAGGGCTGGGGTTGCAAACAAGCAGCATCATTCCCAGTGTGACTTGATTCCGACTCTGACACCTTACACATCTCTGAAGAATGTTCTATCAAGGTACTGTTGGTTGATGTAGTGGTTTGATCTTATCTCTCATCCCTGGGATGAGATCTGTCCCAGTGCTTTGATCTCATTCTGTGTTGAGGGTGGAAATAAGTGACAGGCGTCATGGAATCAGTACCAATAAAGCCCTTTCTGTCCAGTCTTAGGCAGCTAAGAGGTGTAGAAGAAATGGCTCTTAGGCCTGCCTGGAGTCTCTTTTTCTTGGTGGTGGTGTTCTAGCATCTCCAAAAACACCAATGGGGTTCCCCACTAGAGGCTGTACTTCTGCAGAATGTCTGCAGACAATAGTTACATCATTCTTAAAGTAGAACACAAGACAGAACTAACGAGCAACTATTTAAGGAAAAGTAACTTAAAAATTAAGTATTTGGTCCAAGAGATCGCCTGGCAAGCCTGAGCCCTGAATTAAATCTCCTGAACCCACCTAAGGAGAGACCCAACTCCACAGACTTGCCCTCTGACCTCCACACTAAGCATGGCACACACACTATAATAGTAATGAAAATTAAAAGTTAGCACCTGTCTATAGATGCTTTTAAATCTACTTATCTATTTAAATCCCAGTATCTAATGCCTGGTGATCATTAGGAAGCATTGCTCAGAATGTACACTGTTAGGGCATGTTGAATTATCCTTGCTTAAAGAGAATAGCTGGCAGAGTTAGGAGCACATGAACACAGGCCTGAGACAGTGGTAGCATTAACAATTTTGATTTGGAGGAAAACAGTTTTTTGTTGTTGTTGTTGTTTTTTGTTTTTTGTTTTTTCGAGACAGGGTTTCTCTGTGTAGCTTTGCGCCTTTCCTGGAACTCACTTGGTAGCCCAGGCTGGCCTCAAACTCACAGAGATCCGCCTGGCTCTGCCTCCCGAGTGCCGGGATTAAAGGCGTGCGCCACCACCACCAGGCTGGAAAACAGTTTTTAAAGTGCTTCCTAACTGCTGTGTTTTAGAAAGTTTATATAATACGAGAGGCATAAATATATGTAAAGGAGCCAACAACAGCATCACCACATGGAAGAAAGACACAAAGCCAAAGTGCCCCCTCCCCATTACTCCCCATTGTTTATCCATATCTATCTGTCTAGTTTTTTGTGTTTTGTTTTCTGCAAAATTTAGGTGGCAGGGTAGGGTAATAGGTCTACAGCACTAACTATTTAAAAACAAACTTTGGACCCATGGTGGGGAACAGTGTTAATGATCACACATACATGTAGTAAGTGAATTATGTATACAGCAACAAGGTATGTCTTTTGTCAAGGTGAAGGCATATAGAACAGGATTTTAAGTGGCATGACTGCCCAAATGGCAAATTGTGATTTGGTTTTGTTTTTAATTCTGAATGGTGCTGGCTAAAATAACAGAAATATCAAAACGGTTATATTGGCCATGATGAATTTTGTATAAAAGTGAACAAATGATCAAATTTGTTGATCATTCTGTTTGAATTAAATGTCTTTAGCTATAAAAAAAGTTCAGACATAGATCTCTACACACAGATACATGGAGTATTAAATTTATGTGGAAATAATTATTCACAAAAGTTATTTTTTAAGTGGCTATTTAAAGATGTTAAACAAATTAGACTTAATGAACATTGACTTAAGACTGGGTTTCCTAAATAGTTAAATTCTGACTAACTTAACAAAAAAAAGCATAAGTAATTATCTTAATTCACCATTTTTTGTTTTTTTTAAAGCATTTTTGCATATGCTGAGAGCAGATTACTATCTTACAAGAACTCACTGTTTTAGTCAGAACACTGGCTTTTAGGATGTGTGGATGCACTTAATTTTGACCTAAGGAATCCCAGTAGCAGCACAGGACTACAGCACCCACAGACCTTGTGTACCTCACTTTGACTATTCAACACTCGCTTCAGCTCCCTGGTTTTGCCATCATATTTTTTTATTTTTCATTTTGGAAAAATCCAGTCATTTTATCCAGGGTAAAATTATCCAGGTAAAATATTTTACCATACAAAAATCCTTCATTATCTAAAACATTCCCTTTCATTGGGCATGGTGGTACATGCCTTTAATCTCAGCACTGGGAAGGCAGAGGCAGGTGGATCTCTGTGAGTTTGAAGCCACCCTGGTCTACATAGTGAATTCCAGAACAACTATGTAGCTATGTAAAGACACCCTATCTTTTTTTTTTTTTTTTTTGGTTTTTCGAGACAGGGTTTCTCTGTGTAGCTTTGCGCCTTTCCTGGAACTCACTTGGTAGTCTGGAACTCACTTGGTAGTCCAGGCTGGCCTCGAACTCACAGAGATCCGCCTGGCTCTGCCTCCCAAGTGCTGGGATTAAAGGCGTGCGCCACCACCGCCCGGCAAGAGACCCTATCTTAAAAAATAAATAATATAAATAAATAAAAGATTCCTTTTTTCTTTTTCATGACAGACTTACTCTCATCCTTTCTTTAAAAAATTGCCTCGTGTTTATGTGGAGAAGGGAGCCAGTTGAGACACCCTTGCCTATATGGGTGAGGTGGTATTGCTGCTGGCTGGTGTGAGAAGGTCCTTGGATGTGAACATGGCTCAGAGTTCCAGCAACTGCTCTGTCTGGGGACTGTCATTTGGAAAATGGATCTGCTGGGACTGAAAAGGGCCCACGAGGCACAACAGTTGTGTCCTCCACATGATGGATAAGGAGTGGGGAGGTCAGTGTGGACTACAGGTCCATTTTAGTAGGAGCAGGTACAGCTGAGGGATGCGCCCTGCTATGAAGGCCCTTACTGAGCCAGGAGGGGTGATCACATGGCAGGTGGCCAGAACCAGGTTCCTCCTAGCACGGTGGTTCTCGACTTTCCAAATACTGCAACCCTTTAATATATTTCCTCGTGTTGTGGTGCCCCCAAATCATAAAATTATTTTCGTTGATCATAACTGCAACTGTGCTACTGTTAGGAGTCATAATGTAAATATTTGATATTTCTGATGGTGTTAGGCAGCCCCTGTGAAAGGGTCATTCAATACCCTTGGGGTCACGACCCACAGGTTGAGAACCACTGTCCTAGCCGGTGCATTCAGGCAACCAGGCTGGGAATTGGAGAAAAACACTGAGAAGTGAAGTAAACGGGAAGCAGATGGCTGCCTTCCCAAGGGCGGGGCCCAGTGTGTCATGCCAGAACTTGCCTGTCTGGGTGTATTCCGTGGGGTCCCAAGGAAAACAGGTGTGTGCCACCTCCACTGGCACGCTCCAGTTCCTGCTTGGCATTTGGTTTACAATGATTCTGGAGCCACCATAGAGTTGCCTCCCCAGGTCTGCTGCCCAGAAGTGGGAACCATTCCAGACACCCTTGACTGCGTGGTCCCAGGGGAGAGGAGAGGGGGCAAGGCTGGAGCTTACTTATATCACACTATTTAAAGGTGGGGTGTCTGGGGCTTAACTCTTTGCCTTTCACTGGATCGAGTCTTTCTAATGGGGGAAGAAGAGACTTTGCTGGAGCCTGAGCTTGGGAACACAGCTCTGCTGTGTTTAGGGACCCTGAAGAGGAAACACAGTTCTTGGGAGATCACATCTCAGTGCCATCTCAGTACCAGAGACCAAAGAGCCTGTACCTGAGTAACAGCAGAGAAGGAACAGTTTATGTGCATGCTGCATACAAGTCATAGCAGTAAAACCAGATGTTCTTTCTTCCTGATCTACAGATGAAGACATACCTGCTCAGAGAGGATAAAGGATATATCCAGCCCCCCCCCCCCCCACACACACACACACACACACTAGGGCCTAGAAAGGGAAGGAGTCAGAGGAGTGATCAGGTACTGCTGACACAGTATCACTTCCCAGTGTTAGTGTCTGCTTCTTCTCTGGAGACAGCAGAAACACACACCCCTGAACAGGGCCTACATGGGTCCTGGGAGGTTGGGAGGGAAGGTCAGAGGACTCAACATGGCTTCTCTCTTCTGCAGGGCTCAAGGAAGGTGTGCACGCAGGTGTAGCTGTCTCTCCTGGGTGCAAGATTTGAGACCCAGAAGTCACTCATGGCTCCTTATCACATCCGCCAGTACCAGGACAGTGACCATAAAAGTGTCCTGGATGTGTTCACAAGGGGCATGGAGGAGCACATCCCCCCCACCTTCCGCCGTGTGCTGACGCTGCCCCGAACCCTCCTGCTCTTACTTGGGGTACCTCTTGCCATGGTCCTGGTGTCTGGCTCCTGGCTCCTGGCTATTATGTGCATCTTCTTTCTGCTCCTACTCCTGCAGCTCCTTGCCAGACAGCCTTGGAAGAAGTATGTGGCCAAGTGTTTGCACACAGACATGGCTGACATCACCAAGTCCTACCTGAATGCACGTGGCTCCTGCTTCTGGGTGGCTGAGTCTAGTGGTCAGGTGGTAGGCATAGTGGGTTGTCTGCCAGTCAAGAATCCCCCGTTTGGAAGGAAGCAGCTGGAGCTCCTTCACCTGTCTGTGTCTTCACAGCACCGAGGACAGGGGATAGCGAAAGCACTGGTCAGAACTCTCCTCCAGTTTGCACGGGACCAGGGCTACAGTGATGTTGTCCTTGACACCAGTACCATACAGCAAGGTACTGAGGCCCTCTACCTGAGCATGGGCTTCCGGAGGACAGGCCAGTATTTCATGAGTATATTCTGGAGGTTAGTGGATATCCCTGCAATTCAACTAAAGTATTCCCTCCCTTCTGCCTAGGAAGTGGGGCTTGGGACCTATGCTCCTGTGCAGCAAGCAGGCCTGCTCCTCTCTAGAGGAACTAGTGAACCTTGTCATGTCAGTGTGATGAACAATAAAAGCTCCTTGCTGGTGCACACCAGATCCTAATGCATGTGATGGCTGAGGTGGGGGTTTGGGGGTTCTGCTGCACTCTGGGTTTCTGGACTGCCTGTGATTTATACACCTAGCTCCATATTACTGTTACATTAGGATCAAGGCAACATTTTTTGTTCCAAATGCAAAATACTACTGCATATATTTCCCTTTTGAGTCTGTAGACCAGAAATTTTTGCAGGGCTTGAGGGAACAGCTCACCTAACCTCAGGATGATTGGTTGAATGTAAATGTGGGAAATGAACATGGAAGTCTCTGTGTTCCTGTGTTCCAGGAAGTCATGAACTTTGGCCTGTGGTCATTGACCACAGACTTAGTGGCTGATACCTTGAGTCCACTTTTTTAAAATTCTTTGACAGTTTTATACATGTGTACACTGAGTTTTGTGCTGCAGGCCGCAGGAATATATCATAAGAACTCAGCTGGTTATGGCAAAGTCACTACCTGGAGGAATCAGGGAATTCCTCCAGAGGAAGCCAAATCCCAAGGAGTTTTTGGTGTTACTTGGCTTGTTATATATCAGCTGTATTCTGTTATGAAAATCATGTGTGCCTTCATAGTTTTCCCCAGTTGACTTTTCCCTAAGAAGGGCTAACAGTGTGGACTGATCACTCTCTGGACATACACATTCCAGGTATTTGGAGAACAGCCTCAGGAAAGGCTTTCTCTGGAATCAGATATCTCCCTTGGCCACTTCCAAGGACTAGCAGTAATAACAGTCCACATGCAAGTCTCCTGGTAAATTCCACAAGGAGACACCACCTAGGTCAGGTGGACGTTAAGTAATAGCTTTACACAATTCAGCTCGGACCCCTCTTTCTTACAGCCTTACTGACTTTATAGACTGCTAACTCCTTACCTAACCACTTCTAGGAATATTTAGATAACCTCCTGCACTGACAGCTATGCTCAGCCAGAACCCCAGTTCAAGCCTCCCTGTAATTATCATCATTAGCAGCATCCGGCCAGGTCCATCCCCAGATGGAGGAGAGTACTTTATCAGAGATACCTCTGTATTCTCTAAGAACAGACTTAACCATCCAGGCTACCTGTTTGAGAAGGCCTGGCGGATGTGCCAATTAAGCGTTACTTCCTCCTTTCCCAAACCTTACCTCCAGTTCCAGATCTCCCTTTAACTATCACCAGAGGCATCCAGCTGTACACAGGTTGCCTAGCGACTGAGCACACTTTCCCCCACCCTGCAGAAAAACGGCAGATAGCTTGGACAGATAGGAGCCACAGGAAAAAAGAAGACAGTTTTACTTTCTCCCATTGACCTAGCAACTTATAGATTCTTAACATTTTCTACCAATCATGTTTAAGACTATAGTTGAGCACATAAGAGCCCTCTTCTTAGATATTACCTGAATTCAGCCTTTAGTTAATTCATTTCCCCATTGGTCACTTCCCTTTGGGGTTGCAAATGATAATTAATGGTTATTGCCTCCCTATGATTCTTATCACCCTTCCATTTGACCCTGGAAGCCTGGCTTTATATACCAGGACTTCCAGGGCACGGGGGTGGGAGAAGAGAAAAGAGAATGGAAGAACTAGACGGGTAAGAACTTGAGAGGAACAAACTGAGATGGGGAAGAACTAGATTGAAGGGCTAGAAGAGAGGACTAGAGGAATGAGATGGAAGATGAGGATGAGCCAGATGGGGAACAACAAGATGAGGAAGAACGAGATGAGGAGAGAGAAAGAGATGGGAGAAAAGATGATATGGGAAGGAACAAGATGGATGAGAACCTAGAAGGGGCAGAACAAGATGAAGGAATTAAGATAGAACCCAGAGGGGACCGCGGACAAGTGTAGAGAGAAATCAGGCAAGAAAAGACCTAAATATGAGAGAATATAAGCTTGTAACTGACACAGAATAATAAAGTATATGGACTAAGGAGTTTCGTGTACATAGATTCATTTCTCCTCATCAAAGATTAATTATCAGCGGGTTGTAGATTCTTCCCGGACCCTGGGAGGGGACTATCGAGGGGCTGGACCCCCTTAGTCCCTGATAGTTTTGTGTTACAGCCTTCACTCACATAGGTTTTCAGCTAAGCCCAGTCCAGAATCAAGACAGGAGCCCCCGAGTGCTGGAGACTGATGCAAGCATCGAAGGGTTATTGGGGAAAAAAGACGAACATACCAGGGCCTTGAGCTATTGTAGCTCATGTTCATGTCCTCAGAGTGGAGACTTTCATTAAGGAGACAAGTAGATTTATACAAAGTAAGAAATCTCATTTACCCCAGAGCTTCTGGGAAAGTAAATTTCTAACTGCCACCTGTGTTTGGGAACCAAAAGTCCTGTTGTCCTTGTGCAGAGAGATCTATTTTCTCAGAAATAAGAGTGTGGGAATGCACACAGCCAGAACACACCCCACATACACCCGGGCATGCAGTCACTGAAGTCTCCTTATTTGGAAATTAGAAAAAAAAATGCCTTTATCTCTTTATATTATAGCAATGTTGGCGTTGGTAAACCTGCTGTGTAGCGATTTCCTATGCAGTGAAACATTACTTACTTTCTAAAATGAGAAAATAGGTTCCTGAGACTCAGGCGGTAAGTGAAACACAAGGCCCAGGGGGTAAGACAACTTACAAGATCAGAAAGCACCTGAAGTTAAGTGATTCACTGAGGCCCACCCCAAGGTAAGCAGCAAATGCTGGAGAGCAGGGACTCGCCTTCAGAACTGCCTGCAAGTGGTCCAGGGCTGCAGGATGCATCCTTTGTGAGTCTCGGCCCATGCTGGGCTGGGCTTTTCAGAGATGACACTGCCTTTGTATTGTCCATGCTCCTATAAGTAACTCCTTGCTCATATTCCTATACATATTTCAATAAACTCGTTAATTCAACTAAACTAGACTGGTGAAATAATTTATCAGGTCTGTTAGTGCCCACTCTGGGATATGGACATCTGTTCATATTTCTGCAGGAAAATCCTCACGGTGCTTGTCATTGTAAAAATCTCTGCTCCTTGGAGATTTGTGTAAACCTTAGGAGTTAACAATTCTCTGCAAGGTGCACACTAGCACTGTCTTCTCAAGCATCTGGGTGCCCTCTTGAGATGGAATCACCCAGTGGTTTGGTGCCTACCTCCCAGACTATGGGGATCTTGGAAGTCTACCTTGGGCTCTTGAGTGGGAAACTTACCTCTCTCATGAAGATGTGAGTGTAGTGGACACCTGTTCTATCTATGACCGAGAGATGTAGCAAGTAACTGTCCAACCTATCTATGACCTTGAAGTACCTACCCCTGGGGCATGGCTCCAGGCCACCCTTATGACCTGAGTCGCACATAGGCCACCCTCTCCTCTCCCTCGTGGACTTAGATGCTGAGACAGACCCAGGCAGAAGAACAGTATGGGACTGTACCTTGGACTTCCAGGACCCTATGATAAATCTCCCGTGCTGTAGTGAGTCTTCTTCCTTAATAAATTCCTTTACCCTTTAAGCAGCCTCTGGATTTCTCGAATTATATGAGTCTAATTGGTTTGGCTCACACCGTTTGGTAGGTGCACTGGATGGATCAAGGTAAGTGCTCTCCTCATCGTGGGCTCTTGTTTTCAGGAACATGGGATGGGTATAACTGTGGCTACAGGCCTCAACAGGACAAGCACAAGTTTGAAGACATCAAGGACAGGAGGGAGGGAAGGTTTGGGGAACCCGGACAGTTGGGAATAGACCCTGTCCTCAAGAGGTCGCGGGCAGAGCACCAGCACACTCTCCCTCCACCCCCCAATCTCTTCCAGGCCTCCCACCCCAACACGCCAACCCCAAGTGAAGGCTGAAAAGTAGCCTCTTGCTGCTCTGGCCCTGGCAGTACAGAAGGCCAGTCTCTAGGACACAGGGAGGGAGGGAGGGAGGGAAAGAGCTGGCCCAGGTAAGAAGGGCTGTGAAGGCATCTAGGACAGGCAGTTGTGATACATCTACATTTTGTCTCCAAAGCAACTGACCCAGAAGGCCATGCTTCCCTCTCCATGGTGACTGAATGGAGATGCAGGGAAGCCAGAAAAACAACCCAGAGCCAGAAGTGGCCATGAGCCAGCACACTCCAGGCTGCTGAGCAGGCACAGGTTGGCATGGGGTGAAGTGGAGGGTGGCAGCAGGAGGCCACAGACAGAGCCTGTGAGCCATGGGATTCTCCTCAAATGAAGCTGGGTTCTGAATGGTGGGTGGGCTGTGCCAAAGACACCTCCTCCATACTGACTCACAGCCTTGCTTGTCCTTCCCAAGCCTGGGAGCAACAGTGACCCCTGCTTTACACAGCCCCTCCTCCACACTACCCCTGCTGGCTTTTCATCCAAGTTCAAATACATGTGACCCATGAAACAACTCTGACTTTTCTTTCTCTTCCCTCCTCTCTCTCTCTCTCTCTCTCTCTCTCTCTCTCTCTCTCTCTCTCTCTCTCTCTCTCTCTCTCTCTGTCTTTGTCTGTCTCTCTGTCTCTCTGTGTGTGTGTGTGTGTAGGTTGCTGTTCCAGTGTAGGTACACACCCATATAGGTACAGAGGTTAGAGGTCAACCTCAGATGTCATTTCTCAGGAGACATCTACCTTCTTGTTGTGGTGACAGAGTCTCTCACTGGGACCTGGGACTCATCTACTAGGCTACACTGGCTGGCCAGAAAGTCCTAGGGATCCTCTTGTCTCTGCCTCCTCAGAGCCAGGATTACAAGGGCAGGCCACCATGCCTGGCTTTTTACCATGAATGCTGGGGATCCAACTCGGGTCCTAATGCTTGTGTGGCGAGTGCTTTTCTGACTGAGCCATATCCCCAGCCCCTACATCCCCTTTGCCAGCACTACATTCCAGCTAGAAATGGACAGTGTTTGTGAAGCCAGCACAGGCTCTGGACTTACCTGGTTCATGTGGAGAATGCTGCTCCTAAATGGGCTTAAAACTACCGCCTTGAGAGACATGGGTGCTTCTGCTAACTTCTTCCTGGGAAATAGCAACAGTTTATTCCTTTTCTTGGTCAGAGG